ACAAGAAATTGTATTAAATTTTCGATAATGGTATTTTTATTTTTCAAGCTTATGATTGAGAAAGAAAGCTCGATCAGAATAATCATGTCTAAAGTCAAGCTTTAAAGGAAAATGAAGGAAGGGCTGGATTTTTATTTAATATTTATTTTATAAAAAAAAAAATGTTTACTACGCAGGTGACAATTGAGACAAAAAGGTTGCTGTATTTTGATGAATCACCAAAAACCATTGTTTGAGACTCATATAAGTCAAAGTTTCAGAATCAAGATTGTTGATTGCTTCATCGACCGGAATTCTCTTTAAAATGCGTTGAGTAGAATCCCAAATGATAGGATTGCTTGTGAATTCCTCAGGGATATTTTGTTTCAAGTTATCAAAAGTGTCTTGTGCTAAAGAATGAGTTAGTTATTTAATACACGAAGCATTTGAATGCAATTGACTTTACCAACTCCGGGTAATGTTATGTCCCATGCAACGTCCTCTTGGAGCATATCGGCAAGGTCATCAATACGGGGTCGGACAACATCAATATTAAATAGCTTTTTGTTCAAATCTTGAAGAAGATTGACAAGTCGGTTCTTGAATTCTGGTACGAGCATAATTCGTTTGATCAAAGGTCGTTGATCCCAACCCCAGATAGCTGAATAATTACCAGACGACAATCGAGAGATGTTCGTGAGAGTGTTACCAAGACAAAAATCAAGATCATGAGGGATGTAAATATACTGTTGTGTCTTGGGATTCTGATAAATAAAAAAGTTGTTGTTGTTAATAATATAACCATCGGAATAACCACCCAAAATCTCAACCGCCATGCTAAATTGTTACTTATAGATTAGTAACAAATCATTAATTGTAACAAAAAATAGGTTACACTTACGAACGAAGAAACGCTTCCGTATCCATAGTCTTATTCCAAACAGCTGCAGCATCAGATGTGTTAACAGGAGCTTCAGCAATGAATTTTGTGAAATCCATCAAAGGCTGGAAATTATCCTTGGATTCACCATCTGCTTCTTCCTTGACTTTGTATTGACCACCTGCATATGCAGTGATATTGTTTTCATAATAAGCTAAATCAGAAGTATCTCCGGCAGATGAAGGCGCACCCGTTCCTTGATAGAGATAACCATTTTTATAAGAAGTATCGCCTCCAGCAAATTCATTGGCCAACCATGGATTTTGAAAAGCTTCAACAAGACCAAATAAACCAATCTCTCGATCATTCATGAACACACGAACATAAGAAAATTCCGTAGAAGCTACACCGACCGAAGACAAGATATCATAACCCATTTGCTCCCGTACATAAGAAGGATCAAAACCCAGACCACGAAGTTTAATGCGCCGATAACCAAACAAGGATTCCTTCTTTTGTATTTTTAAGATGTAAGATAGCTTGGCCAACAATTGGCTACTACGGCCGGATAATGAGAGTTCGACATTCTTGAATTGAAATGCATCTTTTAAGGAAATGTAAGAAACCGTTGTATCCACGGTTACAGGATCAGCTAGGTAGCTACGATGCATTAAGTCCAATGCCGTTTGGTTAGCAATGAAATGAATGGTAGGGATTTCGTCATCCTTATGCAATGATGAAACCACACGATCTCTTGGGCTGGTAGCAGAATATACCTGAGGTATACGAGCATTGGGGTGCTTGTTCCAGGTACGATTAAAAAATTCATGCGGCGTGCTTTCAATGGCTTGGGGAGAGCGTAAAAATGGTTCCAATAACTGCTCACCAGTGGCGTTGGCTGTTTTAGCATATCGATATCCTGACTTTGGAATGGGAGCCTCTCCTGAAAAAATAATAGGGTAGGTCGAATTCGACTTCAATGGATAAGCAATATCGTCTACTACAACAGACATGGAAGTATAAAGGGTTTGGTTCAAAGTAGCAATTACTTTATAGTCCATCATTTGAGCATGACTGGTGTTAGCAAAAAGTAAAAGAATAACTAAATTATGCACGTTAGCCCATATTTTGTTTTTTGTAAAATTTAATAAAAAGTAAATTACAAGATGCGATTGCGACAACTTTTGAATGAATCATTTTTGTGTATAGAGAGAGAATAAAAGTAATAGTACATTTGTCGATTCTTTATATACTTAACAGATTCTAGAAAATACAGTAAAACGACTGCGCTCACAATTGTTGAGAAGGACAGAATCTTGGCATGACACACCACTTTGTTGATTGGGCATTGTTATTATTTTACTGCATACTGTTAGTCTGTTTTGATAACTTTCATATTATTAAGTTTAATAAAGGATTATCATATACTGTATGCGCCTGTCAATTTGCTTTTTAAAAAAGTAAAGTAATGCATTACTGTATTCTTGCTATGAAAAAGTATACTTTTAAATAGAATTTAAAAATAGATGCTATGTAATGTTTGCATTGAAATTAAAAAAAAATACAGGAGCTGAATCAGGTGGAGCCGAACTAAACAAACACTTTTCGCCAAGATTTTGTGTATCCCTATCACGTTGGATCCATATAGCACGTATTCTTGTTGTATCGATATCTATGTGTTAACTAGAAAAAGAGATAACACACTTTTCATCTTTTGCTAATTCTGCAAAGAAAAAAAAAGGTCTTTAAAAGCAAAGGGAATCTTCGTATATCTGATTCTTTTTTTTTTTTTTTTTGTATGAACTCGTATATCTGATTCTGTAGATTCTTAGGCTTGTGTTATGTCCCATGATCGGGTTACTTTGTAACACTATTTAAGGTATATATTTTTTTCTTCCGAAACGCGATGGTACCACAAAATAAACAAGCGGAGACCAACTTATAATAAATGGTAAATGACAATTACCAACAGTATGGTACATGGTCATAAAAATTATGGTTCTCATAGCTGTATATAAATATATAATAATGATAAAAAGCCCTTTTAATCATCACAATAGCGACAGCAACTTATAATGATTAGTCATTATAAAAGATGTCAGATTTCGATCAAATAAATTTAGATAATTCTGTCAATAACCACCTTGACGTGTGGTGAACAATGAAAGCAAATACTATTTTTAGAATTAAGATGTGCTATTTAGGTATTTTTGGGTCTTTATCAGGGGAAAAAATTCGATGCAACTCCTTGGCTAGAGTACATACCAGCATTTCTTAATATAATAATTACTTGAAAGTTTTGTAGTTACTCACTGCGTAATATAAATTATACTTATGCGCATTTTGTAACTTTTAAAAATATTAAACCAACCTGGAGACTTTGTCGTGAAAGCATTCCCAGAAACAGCACATTTAGTAGAGTATATTGCTAGAATACACGGGTGGCATAGATATTTTATACTAGTTAATCTATATACTTTGAGAGAAAGTATATGATCTAATTAAAAACGAGAGTTAAAGAGAATGTGTGCAATAGTTTGTCAACATATTTCAGGTTCTTAATGTTTATAAGCCCAATTTAAAAACGTGTATTCACATCTACCTCAAATAAAAAATCTGTCTGACCATCTTTTTGTAATGACAAAATTCATAGCATTATAGCCTTACTTTCAAGAGCATAGACCAATATAAAACATATTACGATTTTAATGTAGATTAAGTATTACAATAAAGTGCGAAAAGGCTATGTTCTATCAAAGCCGAACTCTAAAATCTTAGGATATTTACTAAATTTAACCAGAATCAATCAGTAGTTTTTTAAATTAGATGATCAATGATGTTTAACTTGACAGTTCTACTTCATTTACAAGGTTAGCTACTTAGATAAACGGGGATATAAGCTCTGACAAACTACTATGAGTTGTGTGTGTGATCATTGGCCCAAACAAAAAAAAAAAAAAAAAAAAAAAAAAATCTGTTTCTGTATCATGGTCTGAGTTACTCTCTGTCATGTACTGATGCAGCATTATGATAAAGCATAAGAAATAATAGAAGCTTGGACAATTATTGACAAAGCCAAAGTTCTGTACTGTTACGTTATATTCCATTGCTTAAAAATTTACGATTTACTAAAGTCTGATCATGGATCATTCTTGTTTCAAGTTACAGCTACGGCATTTAAATCAAACAATCACGTATTAAACAAACGAGAGGATAAGACAGCTTATTTCTATCAAATATTTCGACATGCTCGATACATGGATTGTCTTAAACAGAAATTCTTGTTACTGTCTATTAACGCATAAATTAGGCTGTTTTTTAGGGATTTGGGCATCTGTGTGTCGCTTAACCAAGTAGGTTTAATACCATTCAGATAGAGTCCATTTTTCCTTTGTCCTGTTAGAAATATCTACTACCCATTTCATACGGCTGCAACTATTTTTTATCCCCCCCCCAAGTACGACGAAAGAACCCAAACTAAGCTGATTTTCAAAATTTATAATTAGCTTTTTCTTTTTTTAAAACATGTCCATGACAGTCGACATCAAAGACTTTTCTAGTCCTCAGTTTGATGCCAAAGAGTGGATCAATTCCGTTTTAAAGCCTACTATTAGTATAAATGAAGAGGATGATGGTGGAGCCAAAGACACCACGATTTTAGTAACCAAGCTTCAAATGCTTAGTGAATCCGCCTCTCGTCAATTCGACCAACAATCCACTGCCGTCATTAAATCCATGCCGCGTATACTCTATGATTTAAAACTCATTTCAGACAATGCCACATCTACTCATCAAGGTGTGGAAGCCGTAAAAAAAAATCTTGGTCTAATTGAAGGTGAGGCAGCCCTGGATAAGTTGCGAAAGCCTCACATAGCCAAAACACGAATGGAGCAGTGTCGAGCGCTCTTGATGGAGAAGGCCGAGGAATTGGAACAACAGCAAAAGGAAAGGGAAGCGTTGGAAGCGCTTATGAGACAAGCAGAAGAAAAAAAGAAGCAAGAGATGGCAGTACCTGTTGTGGAACAAGAGGTGGAACAAGTAAAGGCGGTGGACGAGCCAAAAGATCAGCCTGAAAAAGAAAAGGTAGTGGTAGAGGAAAAAAAGGCATTGGATGAAGGATTAGAATACGGACACGTACAATTGCCACCGCTTAGAGCACCAACACCACGAAGAGTACCTACACCCGTGAATGCACCGCCACCACCACAAGAGGATAATGGATATTTACAACAGACGAGTAATGTCTTTAAAAAGATCGGAGTGCCTGTAAGTCATTGATGTATAAATGTAGTGTGTTTTTGTTGTATTCACTCTTTTAAAAATTGGTACAGTTTTGGCAGTAGAAAGTTCATACCATCCGGCTGGCAGGATATACACATAAGACTCGAAAGTCAGGGCTCGGATGAAGGAAGATCCCTTTTTTTACGCATGATGTGAGAGAATAAATGCATGCGTTTTATTTTATCTCTGGCAAACTACGTCAATTAGCTGAAAGAGCTTATATATTTATATATATATATATTACAGTGATACCTTTATCAACTTTTTTTTTCTTCTGGAAATACAAACTGTGTAAATTCTGGTTTTGATGCACGATAAATAATTTATCCCAAGGTGGATCATTTTGGATATGATTTAAGTCACTGATAATTTCTACAAATGCATTGTTTTTTTTTCAGAAAAATACTGTGGTTACATCTTTTTTTTTTTTCAGATAAAAAAAACATTATTATGATCTTCATCAGTCGCAACCATGCCCTCTGTATTTATTTTGAGCTCGAGTTTACCAAAGACAACATAACCAAGGTCTTGGAAAGGTTTTGTCCTTTAAGCATTTCATATGAAGTTTGCTATTTGGATAATCCCACTGATCCAGTTTTAGTGTCCAAGGAAAAAATAGCAAGCAAACCTGATGTCTTTCATGTATACAAATCTTAGCGAAAAAGCGAATGGAAAGGAATACTCAAGAAAGACAACGTTTATTAAAAAAAATATAAATAGCTAAAATAAACAATCATTACATTTGCTTGTAAATAATGTTACCGGATGATCTTTTTAAGTCATAATATTATGCAACCGAACTTCATGTTGGTATACGTATTACCACATAATGTAAGCTCATGGTCTTAAGCTACGCAATCTCCAAACTGATAATAAATCAATCGTCCACAATCATCTTGATAGATGAATAATCCCCAACATTTTAATACATTTCTATCATCTATTTTATTTAGAGACTTCTAAATTAGCGCGGATTTAAGACAAAATAGTGGATTGATCACAAGAACTCTATCATGTCTAGAAAACAGTAAAAATAGTAAGCTCAATTTCACCAGTAAAATGTATTGCCTATTAACCTCTGGTAATTCCATCGTTCCTAGGAGCTTGGATATTTTTAGAGATACTTCCTTATTTGATTCGGTATTAAACGATCCTTTCTTCTTGATCTTATAAAGCCAACATGATTAGCTTTTTTATTTTTGGTTTTTATGTTTATAGATTGAAGCAAGTGTTGCTGATACTAGCAATGTATGTACACATGCCACACATTTTTACACCAAGTAGCGCTATCATTAACTTTACTCTGCATTACGGCGTCACGTCGCTTTTCTCATTAAAATTTGACTCATATTCATGGTTCCTGCAAATGAATTGTTTTGGTAGACAATAATCTTACATTGGGAAATTAGGTTTTTCGATAATCATCATTATAAATCTACCTAACTTTTCCATCATGATAATTTGAACCACGGGCTGTGCTTTTGTTTACTAAGCTGCGCCATTCTTGGAGTGAGCCACGGCAAATGATATGCCTTTAATAAGGTTTGGGTTAGAACTCCTACCATGAATTAAAAATGCATTGCAATGAATTCTAAAACAGCTATCTCTGATGAAGAATTGGAATTTTCAGTAGCTTTGCTAGCCTGAGTAATTTAGTTTCTACAACTTTGGAGTGGTATGAGTCATTTTTGTGAAGCATTGCCCGTCCTCCATGCTGGCTTGGGTTTCCCTAGAGTCTTTTTTGTTTAACTTACTATTGTGCCATGGGTTATGATGGTTCAACATATGTTCCCTTTGGAGGCTGTTTTATCTTTGTGCCCGACACAGATTGCTTGGCATCGTGCTTGTGCACAGATATTTTATAAAAAAAGTCAAGAAGCACTGCTAAAACAGACGGTTGTATTAAACTCAGTGTTTACAAATATAAACAATGTACGAAAAGTATATAAATACATTTTGTTTTTTTTTATGTCTCTGGACAAAAATAAACTATCCATGAAGAAGCTGAGGCTCAAAAAGCCATGTTTGGGGGGAGGGGATCGGATGATGAATTAACAGCTGTTCCTTAAAAAAAAAGAAAAGAACTTGTACCCCTTTATTTCTATTTCTCTTTCTCTTATATACATTTTGCTATGACAAGCATAGATCATAAGCTTCGTGACTTGGAAAAGCAAGTGCAGCAATTTACCATGGTAACGAGACAATGAAATATTAATTTTTTTTTTTTTTACCTCTCTCTCTTCTCTTCTCTTTCTCTATTTTTTTTTCTTCTCCCTTTTTTTTTTATATTTCACCATTATTAATATCCCACCCATTTTCAATAGACCATGAGTGATCATCAAGGCTTAAATGACCATGGTAAGTTCAGTTTGTAAATTGTACCCCAAGTAAGTTGTCTCCTAAAGTTTTCCGGATTGCAACTATAGAAAGACGACATCGTAACAAACAGGAAAGTAGCAGTAATCAAGACAATGTTCCCCTGCAGATTTACAAAACGCGTGCCTTGCCCCCCCTTCATCAGCAGCAACAACAACAATATAAGTATACTCATGAAGAGGAAGAAGATGAGGCATCACGCGATGATAACACCTGTATCGGCAGTATCTTGCAACGAGCAGCTACTGCTCGTTGTCGTCCCACCGTCATGGAAAAACCCAACATTACACAGTCCAGAAGTTTGAGAAGTACCACTGGAAGAAAACCAGTGAGGGATGAAATCGTCCCACCCGTGCCTACTCAAGAAGATGAAGAGCTTCGTTTTGCCATGCAGCGTGTCTGGGCTGTTCTAGACGCTGAAACCAATCCACAGGTAAAAAAAAAAAAAAATCGATAATGATTATGTGTGAGATGAGCTGTTAAAATTAAAGAAAAAAGCTGTTTAACAGGAACCTGCTGCTCCCGTTGCCGTCGCTGCTGCTGTTGCCCCTACCACAATGATGCCTAGCGAGGGAAACGACATGGATAAATCCAACATGGTGAGCACAGGTCGTATCCAGACAGTTCCATTAAAGACTTTTACCACCCGAATCTACATTGACGATGCCAAAAACCATAAAGTGGTACAACTCACCAATCTTTTGACAACAGCCATGGTCGTACAATATTTAAAAAAGAAGGGTTTAGTGGATCAATCGGATGAATGGACTCTCTTTGAAATTGCCAATAGTCATGGTGTTGGTAAGTTATCCCCTCATAACTAAAAAACTGGCTCCTTAATAATTTTAAAACATTGATTATTTTAGAAAGACCGCTTCGTCAATGGGAAATCGTGCTTGATATTGTTAGTATTTGGGAACCTGATGCAAGTAATGCTCTCCTAGTTAAAAAATATTCATATTATTATACTTTAACTTCAGAGGTAAGGGTGAAAAAAAAAGAGGGAGTAAAAAGATGACTGATAATATTCTTCTCCCAAATAACAGAGCATCTTTAATAAAAAGATTCCTCCAATGCATGGTTGGTTGTCCATCGAGTATAAAAAAGGGAAATGGCAAAAGCGCTATTGCTTTATCAAGGATAATGCTATACATCATGCCAAGGATAACAATAAGGTATAATTTTATTTTATTTTTATTTTATTTATTATACTAACCAGCCCACACAATCTTATAATAAAGGGGTCATCCACTTCGATTTTATGTCATTTAGGAACTTACGATGTCTACACTTTACTTTCACCTTTAAAACAAAGTCCAACTCCATTTGTATTTGCCATCCGTGCACAAGATCGATCCAGCATGTTTGAACGAGAAGGAGATTATATGCGATGTTTAGCAGTGGAGGATCAAGATGAAATGAAAGATTGGGTTTTAAGTATCCGTGGTACAAAGGTAACACACATATTTTTCTTAAATGAAATGTATTTTTAAACAAATTTAATATATAGAGTCATATCCAATATGGTTACCATCCAAATCGTATCATGAACCCATTGGCCCATATCTCTCTCGAGGCTTCCTCTTCCGCTGATGAACCTGCTTTACGTCGTCACAAATCCACACGTGAAGCCGCGTCTCTGCCCAAAAGTGAATCCACACGTCGCGTGGTGGATGAAAAGCAACCGATACAAAGATCTCTGACAAGAAGTGGCACAACACGAGGCTCTCAGCGTAACCCAACCGTTTCCACCAGTACCGGTGCTGTAGAAGCCGCCTCTTCTACACCACTCGTTGACACCACGGAAGAAAGCACGTATGTTAAGGGTTCTTTATTAGCTAAAGAAGAACTGGCGGATCGACACGAAGAACCACAAACGCTGATCCATATTGATGACCGTATCAAGTTTGCTAAGGGCAGTTTACTAGACAAGAAAGAAAACCCACTTCCTACTACCGCTGTTTCCGGTGCAGCTGGTAAAATGACGCGATCCAAGAGTGTACGTGAGGTGAGTTCGACGACAGCTGGAGCCACAGAGGATCAGCCTAGACGCCACATGTCGCTAAGAAGAAAGCCAACGACGAGCAACAACAATAAAAAACATCATGATGTCCCACTTCCTAATACAACAACGACACTTTCCTCATCATCATCACCACCTGCTTACTCTACACCCAATAGTACCTTACTTCGATTAGATGATACACCCGAAAGATTTCATTCAAGAGAGTTACATGGAAGACATGTGAAACCTTTATTAAATTTCGATTCAAATGAAAAACCTACCACCACCCTCCATAGAAAATAAGCTCTTTTATATATATATATGCATATATATATAATTTTTTTTTTTTTTTTTTTTTTTTTTTTTATATATATCAGTGTATGTTTTTTTCTTCTTCTTTCATAATAAAAAAAGACTGGTTTTAGGACTGGAGGTTGATAAAAGATTGTTGCTGCTTAACTGCAGGAGAAGGCGTGTTATTTTCTTTGGAATCCAGTAAATCATCTGTTGGTAACTGACCGGTCTTTTGTAATTCAGCAATTTCAGCAGCAGCTTTTTTTTTTAAGAAAAATAAATAAAAATATAATGAGCACTGTTGTTTCTCTATGGTCACATTCAACTTACTTAAAAATCTTCCACCAGGTCCTCGAGGTCGACGCATAGCATGCTTATGTCGACTTTCATGAAGGTATGGCTTTCTTGTACGTTCCAATTTATGTAATTCTTCCAACTTTAAACGAGCAGCACGACGTTTAAGAATGCGATGATATTGTTTTGCGTTCACATACAATGGCTCTTCTTCCACAGCTGGTGCAGTAGCGGATGGTACGGCGGGTACTGCTTTTCTTTCTCTCGTTAGTTTCTTGTGTATATGTGTTTTAATTATTTTGTTTTACCTTGTGTCTGTTGTGCCATCATACCACTAGGCTACAATGAGAAGAAAGGGTTAACATGATTCCCACAAAATGAAATAAGTGAAAAAGAATTTCTTACCAAAGAAACATGTTGTTGTGAAAAACGACCGTAATTTAAAGGTGAGTGTTGACCTTCACTCTAAATTATTTGTAAGGTTAAAACAAAGAAAATTAAGTCATGTAATGTTCTTTTTTACCATGGATTCCTGAGTAGCCACTGGAATGGTAGGACTAGCCGTGGTAGAATTACCATTGGATTCAGTATAGGAATTCATTTGGTTTATGTATAGAGAAAAGTGGGGTAATATAAATATATATATATGCAAATTTTAATATGAAGGCCCGTAACTGATTTTAACAAAAAAAAAAAGCTGTCAGTATAAAGGAACAAATATGATAGGATAAGACTTTCTTCCAATCAAAAAGAAAAAAAAAATAGAAAAAGGACGATTAAAAAGAGAGAGAAAGAGAGAGAGAGGAGGTAAGTGAGGGCTGGGAAAATAAAGACAAAAAGAGTATACGTCACCCGCCCCTTGGTGATATTCACAGCCCCCTTCTTTAGTTTTTGTTGACCCAAAAATAAAAAATAATAAAATAGGTATGAATCCTTTTCAAGTCTTTCATGATAACAAGAAATTTTACTTGAAAATCAGTCAACATACAGATGATTGTGCAGACGAATTAAATCGTCGCATTCGAAACTTTGACAGCTTACAAGAGAAGGATGCAGAGCTTGAGCTTTATCACCTGATTTTAAAACATGCTCGTCATTGTGACTTGTCTCATTGTGTTGCTCAACAGATGGAAGCCAATTTACAGCATTTGATATTGTCCTTTGTGTCACCTTCATATCCTTTACTCGTTTGCCGTCTGGATCTTGTCAAACAAGACACTTTGAACGAAGATCAGCTACTTTTACTACTTAATTATGCCTGTCACTTGTGGTCTGATCCTCGTATCTACGTACGTCGCAAATCCATGGAGCTTGTACAGCGTATCATTCCTCTTTTACCGCAGGTGGATATCTCTCTCATTCTACAGTACCTTCACACGCTAGATATCACCCTTACAGACTTAGACAAGATCCTCTCTTCTGAATACACCGAATTCTTCCATACGCCTATGACCCTGGATCGAGAATGCATCAAACGCCTAGTCCGAATCGTCCTCAGTATTATTTCACACCACCCTTTCACTTTCCCCCGCGATGCTGCACCCATGGATTTGCCTATCCAAAACCTCTTGCCTTTACTGTTTGAAATTTGCTGTGCCAATGACGATGACACGGTGGATTTCATGTACACCATCCTGACAATTTTCAAGGGTGGAGATACCCACTTGTTAAAATCCTTGGAGATCACGCCACATCGTGTGTTTCTTTACTTTCTAAAGGTGTGTGGCGGCACGCATGATATCTTGATTGATTTCTTGTTGGACAAAGATTCGGAATTCTTGAGCTTTTTCATTCAATATCTAAAGTATGCGGTAGAAGATGGAGATGTCTTGTTGGATATCTTGGATGAAGATGAAAGGGATGGCTTATTAACGGTGGTGGTGAATATCACCTTGGTCCTAGAAAAAGACGCATTTCCTTATAATACAGCTCCCTTGCTAAGACGTCTCGTTCAATTAGAAGAATTACTTTTGTAATTCAAGGAAAAAAAAAGTTTTTCTTTTTTTTATTCTGATAAAATGATAATAATAAAAAAAAGAAGAGCAAAATATATGGGAAAGAGAGAATGTTATACAAATGTTGTGTGTGTGTTTTTTTTTGCTTTTTTCTTTTTTCAAGGTGTGTGTGTGTGTATCTACAATAAGAGAGTGTGTGCTTATATATGGTGTTGTGTGCGATCTAAGTTGTTTTTTTTTGGCTTTTTTTGACTTTTCGTTTTTTTCTTGGTGTTGTATTTAACAGGTTAGTTTTGTAGCAGTAGAAGAAGAATGCTTAAAATTGGAACAGATAGACCAAATATGCGAAGCTAATTTGGGTCGTTGTTCAGCAATTGTTGTCAATTCCTTTTCATAGGGAATAAAGTAAGTTGTACTTTGGGGATCTTTAGATAGCCAAACAAGTAGATGTGATGCCACCAGCGCAATCCCCTGAATATCAGACACGTCCACCGTCAGCGGGTGACTCAACACAGGTGAACTCACGCCACCATTCACATTACTACTTTGCGGTGTATACATGCTGGATGAATTGGAGGATGATATATTGGATGTCGGCGTAGACGGTGACGACGAAAGTGAAGGCTCAGGACTCTGCACTGGACTGTTGCAACAACTCTCGCCAATCCCGTTAAAGAAATGCGTGCGTAAGTGAGAAATCCAGTCGTCTTTTGTCGGGAATAATTGTTCTTCTTGTGTGCAATGTGACCAATGACATGCATAATCATCGTTCGCTGTCGCTACCATATGATCGTGTAATACATGTCGTTGAAGTGTAAATGTATCATCAAACAAGAGCGAGCAATGTGCCCATTTACACGAAACCTGCGGGCCTATAAAAATACAGTGTTTAATTAAAAAAAAACAATACATACTACAAATATATAAACTTACGGTCTTGTAGGATGCTCATTTTAATTTGAATGCCCAATATATTTAATCCTTCCACCACAGGTGACGATTGTCCCGGACTCGCTAACAAGGGTTTGGCTTCCGATGTCGTAGATGCTTTGGGAAATGCAATCTTCATGACGGTGTAAAAATCTCGCATCTTGAGTGCCTTTTCTAATCCAAACCTTGCTTCATACAGCAGGTAAATATCATCCAATGACAGAACACTACTTCGATCCGCCACTTGAAATTTGTCTTTTAACCAGCCCAGACATCGAAATGGTTCATCCAGTTTTTGATATACGGTTAAATCAGGCACGCGTGGTACCACTGGTTGATCTTGTTGTAAAAATCCTCCTCCTGCTCCTGCGTTCCCTGTCGCTGTCGTCGTATTATTGTTATTATTATTGTTGCTGTTGTTGTTGGTTGTTGCTGTGGCGGTAGTGGTGGTAGCGCTCGGTAATAGATCATCTTGGATAAATCGAGAGCAGAAATATTTGGATTTCGTCATTAATAAAGAAATGAGTAGGCCGATATATGCACTTGAATGAGGTGATGTCAAGAACTGAGATCTGGATTGAAGAGATGTACGTGTATGCTGATAAATGTATTCCAAAGCGGTGCCCACTAATTCCTCATCGTTCGACAACAGCATCTGAGCAATGCGTGCCATGACAGGACTGCTTTCTAAAAAGGCATGGTTGGCACGGTTCATGGTAAACCAAGTCAAGGTACGAATAGATCCAATCACCAAATAACGATCATGAGCAGCCACCAAAGTATGAACACAATGCAAACAAGGGTCCTTTTCAGATTCTAGAGCCATATGTGCCGCAATATTCTCCAACACGTCCATTGAATGTCTTCCCAATTCTACATGACCTGTACTCATGGATGTTTCCAGACCTTGTACCAACATTTCCTTGACAGACCCATGTTTGGCTAAAATGGGAATATACGTAGCCAAGAACGAAAAGTTTCGAAGGATATGTAATACTTTCAAGATAATCTCCAATGTACCACCCATTCCGGCTTCCCCTCCATTGATTTCACCAATTAAAAGCGGCACCATGATGGAGAAATCGTCTGTGACCATCTCTGTACTTTTGTTGCTGACGGAGGGCTCTATTTTCACATGTTCGGTTTGACTGGTATTCATCATATCGTTTAATGTGTCTGTAGCGCTGGAAGGCAATGCATGATCTGCAGCATGACTGGTCAAACAAGGTTGTGCCAATGATAATAGCAATTGTAATAAAAATGGGGATTCGGTCAATTCCAATTTCTCGGGACATTCAAATGACATGTGTACTATTTCATCCAAGGCCCAATCCACATCGCATCGTTGACCGAATTGTAACGCAAATAAAATACGATCTTTTTCATTAAACGTATTTCCATCCGTTACTGTAGAACTTGCAGCTGCAACGGCGGCGGCTGCAGTGGGTGTAGGATGATTGAGATGATTTTCGTGTTTCAATTGATCTTGTGTGGTTGCATAAATAGGTGGATCCATATCCATATTACTGAAATCAAATAATAATGGATTGCTGTAGCTTAAATCCACGGATTTCTTTTTTTTCGAAGGTGATTTCATGGCGGGTTTTTTCGTAGTGACAGCCACCTTGTAAGCTTTTCCGGCAAGTGTAGAGGATTTATGTGCACCTGGACCTAATAATTCTTTAGGCGGCTGCCAGTCTTTACTCCACAACTTTTCTTCTTCCCAGCCGAGCTATTTTATTATATATATTTTAGTTTTCCTTTTGCTTTCCAATGTTGATATATATATATATATATATATAAAAGGTTTACCAGATTCCGGATATAGACACCTTTTAGGATGTAGGCACTATTGGTACAGGTGGATGGGAATTGAAAGATATCGCCTACTTGTTTCCAGCCTCTGTTTTTAGTTACTTCATCAAATCCACCGGATGCTGCCACCACTTGAAAGATTTTGTACAAGTCTAATCGACGACCGCCCAAGACGGGTTCTGCTTGAAGTGTCGTGCTAATACCTTGTGTTGGTTTTTTTGTTTTGTTTTATATAGTGGAAAACTTACCCCTTCATTACATGGAATTGCTTAAGCTCTTTAATGAAGTTGACATATTCTGGTGTACGGTCTATTGTATCACGCAACCTCGTCATTGATAAAGTTGTCTTATGCTCACTTTGGCTTTTTTATATGTGTAAAAAAACGGGTTCTTTTTTTTTTTTTTACTTTTGCTTTACTTTTGTTGTTGTTGTTTCAACCTTTTGAATTATGAGTGTCTCTTCGTAGTTCGTTACAAGGAGAACAAAGGTTGTAGAATGTGTTTGTTTAAAAAGATGTTGAATCCCAGAAAAGAAACATGTAAAAAAAAAAAAAAAAAAAAAAGAATGTGTCATTTTTTTTTCGTGTGGCTTATCGCCTTTTCGGTCAGCATGACCTTATGCGTTGATTGGACAGCTGTGATTCATTCTTGTGCAACACTTGTCAAAATGACTCTCCAAAGCCAGGTTCTATACACTCCAACCTGTTTTTTTAAAATGTCATGCATTGTTTTACTTTTACGAATAAAACGCGTCCTACACACTCTGTTAAACAGGGGGTTTTCCGCAAACTTTTTTTTTACTGTGTGACAAACAAAATGAAATACATGAATTTACAGAAATAATGAGGCCATTTTTATATATTTTGTTTTTTTTATGATTGATGTTGTCTCACAGCATCTACAAAATAAGGTGGATTAGATAACAAAACAAAAAAAGACAAAGCGTAGTCATATTTACCAAAGTAAGGGTGCACCATGGCTTCCTTAGCAGTAAGACGTTCTTGATGATCATATCTTAACAACTTGTCCAAAAAGTCCGTGGATTGTTCCGTAACAAATCGTTGATTATCGTTTGTGACAAACTTACTCCAAGCTTTACGGGGATGTCTACCTAAAATATTGTTGTATTCCGAAGCAAGCTTAATCGAGTACTTTTCCGTGTATTTGAAAAGTTCATCTGTACCAAGCACACGAGCAATCTTGACTAATTGATCGTAATTATCGTGCCCATGGAAGAAAGGTTCCTTACGGAAGATCTATGAATATATTTCAGTTCAAACCCTGCCCATCCACCTTCCTTTTTTATCATTTGTATTTACCATACTGGCAAACATGCAGCCATAACTCCACATATCCAAACTGTAATCGTATTCTTGGAAATCAACTAAAAGTTCAGGTCCTTTAAAGTATCTCGATGCAACACGCACATTGTACTCGGTGCCTGCGTGATAGAATTCTGCTAACCCCCAATCAATCAAACGCAACTGCGCGTGTGTAATATATATAAAAAAAAAATGATAAATACACACACCCACACAAAAAAAAAAAAAAAAAAAAAAAAAAAAAAAAAAAAAAAAAACTAAACCCATTACCTGCTTCTTTTCGTGGTCGATCATGACGTTGTGGGGCTTGACATCGCGATGCATGATACCTTTGGAATGACAGTAATCCAAAGCCTTTAATAATTCATACATGTAGAACTGGATATCATATACGGTGAATCGAGGATACAAAATCTTGAACTCTGTGTTATTGACATATTCGGAAACAATCGCAGGTGTTCTCGACTAAGATATATATTTCTTTTAGCAAATGATACTAGACCCACCCCAAAAAATAACTTACAATAGGATCTCGAACAATGTCTAAAAGACCAACAATGTTGGTGCCACCAGCCAAGTTTTGGAGAATCTTGATTTCTCGTCTAATCTTCTTCTTTTTCACAGGCTTCAAAGCCTTAATGACACATTGTTGATTGTTGGTGATATTGATACCTTGAAACACCTCAGAGTATTTACCACGTCCTACTTTACGGATAATTTCGTAATTGTCTTGCGTTCTATTTATTTTTTTATTATTAGATGAGAAAAAAAATATTGCATCCGTTCTTCTTTTACCCCCATTCCACTTGAAGGTTATCATAATCCCAATAGGCAGTAGGCATTTTCGCATTGACATCTGCATAGCACCGGGCAATGCTTTTTCCTGTTGCCATGCCAGATGAACTCATTTATTATTATTTGTTCCAGAAAAAGAAAGTTTTTTTTCTTTTTTATTGCCCTTCCCCCCAAAAAGAAAAAAAAGGCCGGTTTTGTAGTCACACACACACACAATAAAAAGAAAAACGTCATGTGGCGGGCTCACATAGATGCATCTTTTCTGTTCACTTGTAGATTTTTACGCTGTCATAACATGATAATAAAAGAGAGGCGGTTCCATCTACTGCTTTGAGGAAGGGGGATAAATTATAGATTTATTATTATTTTTTACTGGTTGGAGAAAAAGACATTGACAGGTATGCCTTTTGTGTAGGCTCGATCACCCATATACTCAATAGCATTATGCATTGACTCGTCATCATCAATAATTACATTAGGAGACTCTTTGCTACGCACATAGGTCACTTCCTGTACTTTTGCTCCCGTCTTCTTTTCCACTTCATCCATTAGTTGTGAAAACGGATCTTCTGAATCCAACCGGAATACATATTGTCGTGCTTGTAACCCGCTATTCTGGAAATGTACGATCCAATCGATCTCTCTCTTTGTAAACATTCTTGTATTTTGCAGAAAAAGAAAGAAGAAATGAATAATGTGGGGGGTGGGGAAAACATTTTGTGGAACCGGGTTTTTTTTTTTATATACATGTCTTTGACAAGAATCAGACTTAACCCTAGTTAACAGTTAAAGTTTACCCTGTGTATGACTCGCGATTACCTCGGCAACCATCACCAAGTTTACCAAAAGTGTAAACAAATCACAGTAATAAAGATACTCGTTATAGTCCGGATGATTTGTTGTTCCCAATGTAGTAGGTCGTCTATCCCATAAAGTATTCCACTATAATCAATGATGGTCTCTTAGATACATGCTTATAACCAAACGGGTAGCACCTTATTATAGCAGAAATCACGTAGCGTTGACACTAAGAAAGTAGCATGATCAATGCGCTTTTTTTTTTTTTTTGGGATCATTGAGACTGTAAATGTGACGGTGATTTTCTTTCATTACTAAAAATATAAAAAAAAAATATTTTATATGAATTCCCTCCTACGGTTTATATCTATTTTTTCTCGATAAAAGCAATGGCAGGAATTAGTAAGTAGAACCTCCCAAGATTATTCTTGTTATTCACATTATTTCTTGAAAAAAACAGAAAGTAAAAAGGGACGTAATGCCGATCGTTTGAATGGAGCAAGTAAAGTATACATTGTAGATCGATCAACTTGTTTTTAAAAAAGACTAACTCTTTCTGTAGAGGGTAAAAAGGATCCCGGTGTACCCAACTTTGAAAACTTCAAGAAAAAGCAACAAAACAAAGAAGAGCAAAAACGCAAAAGAGTAAAAAAAAAAACACAAAACACAACCCCGCTTTTATCATGGACTAAAAGATAGATTTATAAAATAGATTGCTGGTAATAAGGAACGTCAAGATTTAGCACGTCAAAATTTGCAAAACAACAATAGAAATTTAAACATTTTTGATTTGGTAAAGAGTGCCGAAAAAAGATCCCAAGATTTTGACGATACTGTAGACCCCTCTGGAAACAACAAGGAGATCAAGGATGCTGCTGCCACAGGTCAAAAGGATAATTCCAAAAAGGCCTATTATAAAGAATTCAGAAAGGTTTTAGAAAACGCTGATGTTATTTTGGAAGTCTTGGATGCCCGTGATCCTTTAGGTACACGTACGCGTAGTGTCGAGCGTATGGTCATGGATAGTGGTCTCGATAAAAAGATTATTCTCGTGTTGAACAAGATTGGTAAGCCTTCTTTTTAATTATGAAGGAAGTAAGTATTTAATCCAATATTGTGTTTGTATTAGATTTGGTGCCTAAAGAAAATGTGGAACAATGGTTAAAGTATTTACGTAACGAGTACCCCGCTATTGCTTTCAAAGCATCCACCCAAAGTCAACGTAACAATCTCAGTCAATCCACCGTCGCCACCGATGCTGCCAGTACCAACATGTTGAATTCGGCCGAATGTTTGGGTGCGGACACCTTGATTCGTTTATTAAAGAATTACTGTCGAAACCTCAACATCAAAACTTCCATTACCGTTGGTATTGTCGGTTACCCTAATGTCGGTAAATCTTCCGTCATTAACTCCCTCAAACGATCCAAGGTCTGCGGTGTTGGTTCCACACCCGGTTTCACTAAAGTAGCTCAACAAATCACGTTGGATAAAAATATCAAGTTGCTCGATTGTCCTGGTATCGTCTTTGCTCAACAAGGTCAAGATGGTCAAAATGATGCAGAAATCACCCTTAGAAATTGTGTCAAGGTAGAATTATTAGATGACCCAATCACACCTGGTATGTTATATCTTTTTTTTTTTTTTTTTTTTTTACTTCTTTATTAAACTAACCTACCCTCTTAAATCTAGTCGAGGTCATTGTCTCTAGATGTACCACTGAACAACTCATGAAAATGTACAATGTTTCCTACTTTAACAATGCGCATGAATTTTTGGTCTTATTGGCTCAACAACGTGGTAAACTCAAAAAGGTAATTTTGAAGAAAAAGTCAAAATGGATCGTCAGACTAACTTTCTTTTTCTGTCTTCTAAAAAAGGGTGGTGTTGCTGATACACATCAAGTAGCGCGTCATGTATTAACTGATTGGAACGGTGGAAAAATTCCTTATTATACCATGCCTCCCTCATCCAAGCAAAGTCATATCGATGCTTCCGTTGTCAATACATGGGGTAAAGAATTGGATCTGGATTTGGAATCCACTGATATCGTTTTATCTGGTTTGAAATCAAGCTCTGATTTCACTTCCAGTGTCGTTATGGTAATTTTTGTATATTTGTATGCTTTTACGATAGGAAACTAAACAGAATGTTAATTTAGCAAGCAAATGACGATGTCGAAATGATGGTAGATGCCGATATGGATGGGTAAAGTTTATTTTAATTTTTTTTTCCCCGCGGGTTTTGTGTGCTAATATATAATTTTTATTCAGAATGGATGCATCCAGCATGGATACAGGAGATATGATGATGCAGCAAGGAGAGAGTGGAGTTGGTACGACGACATCACAACCAATTATCCAAGTCAATAAAATGTTGATGATGAAGAAGAAGAATGCTGCTAGTAAACCTCAAAATATTATATCGTTTGATGAGGAGCAATTAAACCCTCAATGGAACCAACAATCCAAGAAATTACAAAAGGCTCAACAAAAGAAGGCCAGAAGACAAGCAGAAGGTGCAAACACCTCCAATAATTTAATGGAAGAGGACGACGATATGCAAGAGGAATTTACCATGCCAACCACAGCTACAAGCTTCCCACAATTTAACACGGGTTTGATGTCCGCACCAATCCCCGATGAAGATGAAGAATTATAAAACATTTTTTAAAGTCTCCACTATAATTTCATACCAATACTTATCATTCGTTTAGATTCATTTCTTTATGCAGAAACACAGGAAAAAAAAAAAGTCCCACACCATAGATATAGAGTCTTTTTTCTTTTTTTTTCCCTCTTCTCTCTTTTTTCTCACACGCCCATCTATAATAAAATCGTAATACAACAAGTACATGTTTACAAAGCTTTTCAATACAATTCGTGATACTCTATCCCGTGAAACAGTGGATAATAACAATAAAAAAGAACGTGAACAAGCTAGTGTCGCAAGAAGACCCTCAATCACAGAAGAATTACAGAATAATGATACACACAGTGTCTTTTCGGATCATGCACCTTCTTCCGCAAAAATGCTAGGCAGAAACAATTCCATTTCTGTCTCTGAACCCATCTCGATCAATGACAGTGCTGCGGGGGGTAAGCCACAAAGAGGTACCACCTTATTTGGTATATCCAAAGATACCGCTGATGATTTTGTTCAAAAGGACCTCATCTCAAGTTCTTGGAGTTAAAAAGATCTTTTCTTAGCGCTCATTAGAACGAACTTTCTCTTTACCCAGCACACTGATGAACACACACAAACGTATGCAACAAACAAAATCAAAAAAAAAATCATCATATTTAGCAAACCTTCTTTTGGTAATTCCAATGTACATATATGACCCTTTCCCAACAAATAATAATAAAAAAAAAAATCTTGAAATATTTATTGTTTGTACAATGTAAAGAAGTATATCAAAAAAGAGTTGATTTTCTTTTACGTGTGTGTTTGTGGGTAAGTTGACGTTTTGCGAAATGCTTTACTTGTCTCTCTATTCCTCTCTCTTTTTTTTTACATCTTCATGGGTTGGGGTTGGGTCGATTCTTTCTCGAGTTCAGCACTAAAAACACACACTAAGTAACATCATCCCTCTGTTTTTATGTTTTTGTAATTACCGCAATTGCTTGGAGAAATCATCCTCAATATCATCGTCATCCCAGTTATCTTCCCAGAAATGAGCGTCGTTTTGATCCTCTTCGTTCTCTCCCCAATCTACAAGGACATATTAATATTTGCTTCCCTTTACATGCACACACTAAAATATACCTTCAGCGGCAAACTCCTCAAATTCATCATCTTCTTCAAGAGCACCAAGTTGAGCCAAGTTCTTTTTGGATTGCTCCTCGGTTAATTTCTGTTGTTGTTGTTGTTGAGCAGACATTTTATTAATGAATTAAAAAAACAAGAATTTTCATATCTTTTCTTACGATTTATGAAGGGAACGCGCGTAGACAGCTTTGAAAAAAGTGACTGCTGTTGTGTGAAATTACGTCACATTCTATGTATCTATTCGCGCATAAATGATTGAATGTGTTGTCTAAACGTCAGTTCTCATAACATAAATGACAGTCTGATTTGTTTGTTCGATCTAATTACTGTAAGGTTCCACACGACTCATATGAACGTCGTTGTAAAATTTGAACTAGAAACGGCTTATGAATTTGAATAGCTCACCAGGGCAACCCGTTTCGGCTACATCTACGGTCAACGCAGGCCATTCTAAAGTGGGACTTTTTTTTTTGTTTTTTTTTTTTGCTTCCCTTTTATTTAAGCTCTCCATGTCAGACACAGAACCTAATGTAGATGGCAGCAACAAAAAACAAAAAGTTGAAAATACACAAAGCCACGATCAAGAGGAAGAACATATCACTTGTATGATCTGTTCTGATGTTTGGAGAACAAAAGGAAGTCATTGTCAAGTAAGCTTAAATTGTGGACATCTCTTTGGTAAAAGGTGAGTTTCTTGGTCATTTTTTTTATTTTATTTTATTTTTTAGTAACAAGTCTCTCTTCACCATGGCTAGTTGTATCATTCGTTGGATTACAGAAAGAACTGAGAAGCTAGGCGCCAAAAAGACCTTTTGTCCCATGTGCATGTAACGTAAAAATGCAACGTTTTTTTTATATATATTTTTTCACTGAAAAAGCCATCATAGGAAAATCGCTCGTTTGTCGGATATTCGCATTGTCACACCCGTCAAAATTGCAGTTAAGGATACAACCCAAATCGACTTGTTCAAAAAAGAATTAGAAACGAAAAAATATACCATCAGCAACTATCAAAAATCTCTGGAATCGGCCCGTCTTACGCTCATTATCAGAAAGAGAGAATTAATAAGAGCACAATCCATCCTTGACGAAGATGACTTACCACCACCATCATCACTGCCTTTACCGGATCAGAGTGAAACCGTTTAACAGTTCGAACCTGCCGTATTTTTTCATTTATCTATCTACATACATTTACTTGTTATTTCTCATTTTATAAGCTTATCGAATGTCGCTTTTTCTTTGTGGCGTGCCTATATCGTTCTATTCAATATATATATATATATATTTAAAAAAGATGCCGATGAAACAAACCAAGTTTGTTATCACCAAAGAAGTATCACCGTAATATTTCTTAATTAAAGTCTACACAATAATTTACCTTGATTAATACATTCCGACGAAAATGACGTTTGGCCAAAAATATTACTCTATCTTCAATGACATATTTCTCGGCCAATTGTAAAAGAAGCAATGTCGTAATTCTATTCTAATAGCATTATAGAATCATAAGAAGCCTACGTAAATAAAAGAAATCAGGACCCATTTAATACTTGGTTGGGCCTCTGAGGATGTGAATTACAAATCGATATCGGTCTGTCATACTTTACACTAAACGACGGGCAAGCGAAATGTATATTTGCTCTAATTACAGCTCTCTTCTTTTCTTTTTTTACGCGCCTTACTTTGGATCTTCTTTTATCAGTTCAAAGTTTCAGAGTCTACCAGAGATGCTCAATTGGGTTTAAGTCTGGACTTTTGGATGGTGTGGTAATCCACGTGTTAGTAGAATCAATCAAATCATCGTGGTGATCTGACATACTTGTTAATAAATAGTTATCATTTGAATAACATCAGATACACTGACACCATCTATTTTACTCTGAAATATAAATATCTTCGTAGTATATCGTTTATTGTACTGAGCTTTAAGATTATCTATATTACAGACATATGGTTGATGATGATATGTTTTATTATAATAGACCAGAATACCATTGGGAACGAAGATAATAAAAACCGTGTGTAGGTTATATGCTTTACAGAGACGAGTCGAATTGAGAGTTATGTATTTGTTTATTTTTGAATTTAAAAAGTATCATTATATAGCTATTCATATGAGTTCATATCTATTTCAGTGCAATCATAATTTTACTGAAGAGATCGTGCCGTCGTCACTACAACATACAAATTTAACCACAAATAAATCAGACGTTATGTCTCCATATAAACAAGAAAAAACATTTGTGATTAGAAATATGTATCAAATACTATCGTAAAGTATTTTAAAATACTATAGATATTACAAATAATATTGAAAATTATAGTCTATATCTGTTTAATTAAATGTAATCTGATACTATCAATTAGCTAATATTTTTTTGTTTGCGAAAGTTGAAGCATATATCTATCTTCAAGGATTAGATGACCAAGCAAAAAATATATTTTTTAAATAGCTTATATATAAACTCAACAATAATTACTTAAGCCTCCAAGGTTGTATCCAATGTAAATAAAAAAAAAATGCTTCCAAACGAATGGGAATTAAACCGATATATAATAATGTTACAAAAAAAAAGATGATTGTGCATGGTGTAACCAATGCGACCCTGAATTTTCAGATACAACAAGATGGTATTTATTGGTTTATGGTTTACTGCTGCCATGATCGTTCTAATTGGAATAATTCATTTGCATATTCTGGTGATGGTAAAGAAGTAGACTGCCAATCTGTTTCCATAAAACTACTGACTCTACCATGAACACGACCGTCCATCTTCATTAGTTCCGAGATAAACCCGATATTGGGAGACATGTTAGGCCTTGCCTTAATGACGTGACGATAAGCACGTTTCAACGTCCAACGTTCTGATGTGACCAAGTAAGCCAAAATAGCAGTAATAGAACGTGATTTACCAGCTTTGCAATGGACATAAATAGGCTCATGGTTTTTCTTGGCTTCCTCTGCAAAATAGAAAGAGTTATTATCTTGGCATCATGCGGGTTTTGATTATTTTAAATAGGACAAACAAAAAAAAAACTTACCGATGAATTGAACAGCTTCCATCATGACAAATTCGATATTCTTCATTTCCAAAGTATCACGTGCCGATATTTTATGATATGTAAATTGGGGTTGGTTTTGTAATCCTTCATCCTGACATTCCTCTGCCATGTTTAATACACGTTTGATAGATCGAGCATCCAATTGACTTGCATGGTCGGATGTTTCAATTTCTGGGCCGACAAATAAGAAGCCCGGGATGATTTCTGATATAATGAAGCAGAAATCTGATTCTGTCCTCGGGGAAGCGTCTGCAGTCATCATACCAGCAATTTCATCGTCTTCTGTCACTCGGATGAGACTACTATTTGCAAATGAAGCGGGTGGAAAGGTTGAGATGGCTGATAATGAAGGTGTTGGTACGGTAAAATGATGCATGGTCGATATGGATGGGATGGTGGTAGAGGACGATGAAGTAGGAACAATTTCTTGTTGCTGTTGTTGTTGAGATCTTCTTTTTGCTCTACGCGCCAGCGCGTTTGCATTATTCACACGAGCAGCTTGTGTATCCAAACTGAATAAACTTGTTCTCTTAGAAAGGTCATTCTTTGAATCACCAATGGTATAACTAATTGAACGTCTTGGTATATTTACGATTGTATTGTTGGGTGTAGGTGAAGGTAGTAAGTTGGGGTCGTCTGTCTCGATCCATCCTTGGTATTGTTGAAAGGCTTTAAACCCTCCATTTAAATAATACATTTTCCCTCCCCCAACCGATCCTATACAACGATCCAACACATTTAATAAAGTCCAGGCTTGCGATGTCGGCTCTTCTGTAGACATTTCTTCATCATACACCACCCAAATCTTAGATTTCTGCTTTTTCTTTATTTCAGCTTCAGCTGCCTTTTTTTCGAAAATAGAGCCAACTGTTGCTGTACTGGGCGGTGATGGAGATGATAAGGTGGAAGCATATAATTCTCGACCTTCGACAGTGGTGATAAAGTTCTCGAGATTAAAATTGGATACTGTACCTCGTTGATACCTTTTGATTAGCAATGAAGGTAGATTCACATTAAGCGAGTTGCTGATTCGTTTCTTTTGGTAATCCATCAAGTTACGAACATCAATCAAAATGACTTGAGCTTCTTTTTCTTCCAAAAGATCAAACAATTCCTCAGGCTCCAACGGTTCTTGTACTATTAAGGTTTTAGCATGCGATTCTGAGTGAGCACGATTTAAATTTTGGTTTTGACGAAATAAAAGAATGTTGTTGGTGACGGGAGTATTCACGGTCAGGTGTTGGTGGCTCATGGAGCGATGGGGTACAAGGTGACTTGATTGCGTACCGAGTTGAGACAGTAAGAAATCTGTATTATCTTGCAAGTGAACAAGTTTAGCGAGTCTCTCGAGTTGATCATTGCCGATAGTTAAATCAGCACGAGTCAATGTCTTTGTGGAAGACAAATGACCAAATGTGTATGAGTGACGAGCGACATCCTCCTTTAGGTGGTGGTTACGACGACTGCGTCTTTGTTCAGCCGAATGCCTTTTTCGTTGTTTGACTGGTGATTGTTTAATTGGTTTAATGATGGGTTCTGATAATGGTATAATAGCAGCAGGAATATTAGGTAAAGATAATGAAGGTCTTGGTGGATGATCAACCACTTGCTTTTTTATGGTTTTCTTTTTGGATGAAAGGTGGATTGGGAATTTTCGAAATAAAGTGTTGGCCAGACTGATTTTTTTTGGCAATGATGACTTTTCTTCATCAGGTCTCGTCTTTGATTTACTTCTATACCTATCAAAAATCATTGTGCTGGAAAAAGAAAGAAGAAAGATTGGTTTCCAATATTCCAAATTGTTAATTTATCTTTTTATTACTTTCTTTGTGAGACTTGCAGAATTTAAATCCGCCATTTAAGTTTTAAGCCCGCCTTCCACGAATGGTATACACTTTTTTTTTTTTTTTTTTTTGCTCAATGTTTACTATCCCTATATTATCATTGCGCTGTTATTATGCATTGAAATGCAGTATGTATAAGAACAATGAACTGTAGAACGTTTTATCGTGGTATCCTCTTTTTGTATTCAATATTTTTTTTTTTTTTTAATTATTAAATCCCAGTTGATAGTTTTTATTAGCAAATGACCCCCAGTGTGGTTCTTTTAAACGCACAGCAAGTATAAAAATGGTAAATCCTATGGGTAATGAAAAAGTAAAACTCTTTCATGGGCAATCAAGTTATTCTTTATTTTTCAAGAAAGAGATCTGCGCAAGGTAAAATTCTTGTTATTCTTTTTTAATGATGATCAAGTTTACTTTTTTTTATTTCTATTTTTATATTTTGTCGATCTTTTAGACTACTAAGCATTCGCTTATTAATTCTTTTTTTCCTTGACTACCATGGTGTTTGGTCTAAAATGAGGCGACCTCAATATTGTTTAGACGAATCAAAATTAATTTTTATATATTTTGTTTACCTTTTTTGGACAGAACGTGGAAAGCAAAATTAATTTTTTAGAAAAAAGTAAGTATATGCTAAGTTGTATTACATGCCTTCCATTCTATATTTGTGACACTATTATACGTACTTTTTACTGATGTCTTACCGCTTTTTATATGATTTCACTATTACAGCTTTCGCTTTTAGTGCTAGGCCTTAATTTATTTGCTTCAGGTGAATTCTGAATTCGAATAGCGTTGAAGTTAAGACAAACATTTAATAATGAACCTTTATTTAGAATGCTAATTAATCATACTTTACCGGTCAGAAGCTTCTTCAGAAGATTTTCCGCTGTTAAGCATATGATTGTTGCACACTAAAATTGAAATTTTATAAATTATTACCAAAAAATTGTGATATGTGGTCTCATTATCAGATTCTGTTTAAATTACAGAACTAGCTCCCTTAAAAATGGCTAAAAAAAAATCCAGACAAATGTAAGGAATAATCAATTTGTTAAAAAGCTTCAAACGCAAGGCCATGCCTGAAAAGAAACAGAACAAACAGGTGAAAAAAAAAAAAAAAAAAAAAAAAAAAAAAAAAAAAAAAAAAAAAAAAAAAAAACGGTATGAATAGTACAAGTGTACTTTTTTCCTGGATATCGTTCACCTTTTAATGCGCGGCTGCTTAATATGGTCAATATATATATTGGAAAAATGATCATACTACCGAGCAAGCCAAGACTTAGAGAAAGAAACTTAGTACTGACAGATCCTCTTAATCAGGTTCTTCTATTTTTTCTTCTAACAACACCTTTAGGCAGATACGCCAATGCACTATTTATCAAACTTGCAAACGAAATATGATTTCACATTAAATCAATCAGGTAGATAATTTATAAAAAAGTAAGAATTGGATCATGATCATGACCAACTCAACAAAGTAATATTTGTGGAATTATTGCATTTGTCAGTTTATCACGGAAACGCAATTACAAAGAGAATTTACAGGTGATTGAATCGGGTTGGCAATAGGTGAATCTAAGACCATCTTCCCTATCAAGACCAGTAAAAAGAGACAGCACGCTCTAAATGTTACCAAATATCCAGTCCTTGCTTTGTTTATACAAGAGTCTTTCAGCAAGTCAAAAGCTGAGATGGGCAATTATACAATTAAAAGATGGTATGTAACCAATAAAAATGAAAAATGAGTGAACGGTAACGATCAGCTACGTTGTATACAATAATAAAAACGCTCCCATGAAGGGACAGCTCTTGGGAATTAATGGTGCTATTCTTCGGTTATTATTATAATTGTAAGAAATAGAATGTAGGATCTATATAAAGCCAATTGAGAATCCATTTCAGTCAAATAGGTTGTTGGTTATGCTAAACTATTCAGTTATGTAATACCTACACATTAGTCATATCCGTAACCGTCCTTCCATTTAAAAAGAAACAATAGAATCGTTGTATTAGAGGAGGTGCACTTTTGTGAAATCGACTGCGTTTAAGGGTTCTTACAAGTAAGCTCATACAATACATGGCTGTCCAAAATTGACATTCTGTTTGTCCAAAAAAGGCAAATATTATGTTTGAAAATTAAAATTCTGTACCATGGCACATTTATTATTTCGTGTAACCAAATAACTGGGTTATCAATATATTTATAGATTTTTTGCGATATTTCATTTGTCACGGTGTTCAGGCTATGTTAGTTTTTTTTTTAGACGATAGAAATTTATCTGTTAAATTACAGTGTAATTGAGGCACTTTTAATTCTTTTTTTTTTTTGGCCTGACCAAAATTAATTTCAAGATGTCTAACTTACTTTTTTAAGATGAATTAAAAAATGAATATTAGACAAATTTCAGCCATATCGAAAAATAAGCAGCTTTAATTTTTTAGTTTTTATCGAGATGATTTTTAATTTTTTAGAAAGATATAGTATACTCGGCACATCTGAAGCTGTCGTTGCTTATGGGCGCTGGTTTCTTTATATGTATATATATACATCTATATATAAACTCGTAAGTTGATGTGTACATGTCTCACATAGAGCGATTTCTTATTGTTTTTTGTAAAAAAAATTAGCTGTAGCTTTTTGATCTTACTACTCTTAAAAATTGAGGTGATAAATCCGGTATGGTGATTGAGCTTGACTCTTGTAAGGAGTGAGGATAGTCAAGATGCCGAGATAACTGATTTTGTTTAATTTGGCGGGACAAAAGGAAGGTTCGTGCCTGGATGTCAATAGTCGCGACAGAAAATCCGGCATGGTGTCATAGCTGAGATTGTCATTGATACAATCATAGATAAAAACTGTGTGATGGCCGATTGTGTCGTACCTGCATGGATTAATTTTAGTCTGTAGATCAATTCTGTGTATGGAAACAAAGGCATTGCTCTGGAACGTTTTCCAGATATTTTATTAAAAAAAAATGTTTGAACAGATTAATCATGCATAAGTATTAGTTATTTCTCTCTTTTTTTGTCAGTTTTAGTTCCACTTTAAAATGTGCAAATCCCTCATTAAAAACAAGATCGAAGCAGTGAGTATAAGTAGAGTGCTAGGTATGGAACATGCCATATTTGAACCCCACTTTCGTTTCTCAGAAATTGTACCGTATAGGAGGAAAACCTCAACTCAAATGCAAGTACTGTAAAGAAAATGGTCACTACAATAAGAACTAATATTTGTGCAGGCTCTTCAAAGAGGATAGCGCTTCTGATAGTGAGTAAAAATAAAAAAGAATATCTAAAATAATTTTATGTTTTTTAATTATTTTGATAGTCGGTACAAGCAAGAAAAGTCAAAACTCGACAAATCAGGAGTGAGAAGAGACAGGCAAAACGACAATGAGTAGAAGTAGACTCCAATGTTATCCGTTCCAATTGTTAAATCCGCTGGCCATACTGTTTGCCCTGAACCATAACTATCTCTTTGAAACTTTAAGTCATGAACAAAAACTTGGGTACAGGCTTCAGATTAATTACAAGGAAGCTTCCCTTTGATACATATGTCAAAGAGGACTACAAGGAAATACTAAAAAAAAATAGAATCATCTCTGCTAGTGAAGATATCTCAGTTACTCACATTGGACAAATATTCGTCTATGAGTGTTTAATCATTCATCTGAGTAAAAAAAAAGGGGGGGGGGGGCAACAGAACGGAGCATCACCTCACCTATCCCATGAGCAGTGAGGTGGGTTAAGCACTCACTGAGCGACTATGAAAAAAAAAAGCGCTCAAAAAGTTCATTTACAGTCTGACAGAATGAAAAAAAAAAAAAGGGTTTCTTCTTATTAGTTGATGATGAAAATGTGCACCATAATTTGGAATATACATATATAAAAAAAAACTACTTTATTTGTAAACAAAACTAATGGAAATTGTTTACGTGTAATCAGAAAAGTGGGTATATCGACAACCCACGACATTGCAAACCCCACCACTGGATTCAGCACTACATAAAGTACTAATCTTTGGTTGATTGTTTAATTTTGGTGTATCAGTAAGACCAAGAGAACTCAGGGCAGATTTGTACGGATGAAAGTGCGTTGATGATGGCTACATAATAAACAAAAAAAGAAGGGGGGTCAATTCGTTAGCTTAATTCATACGTTTATATGTATCCTTTTTTTTTTAAATAAATACCTGTGGATTTGATTGTGTGATAGTTGGAGTGGAGGCAGGTACTTCGGTGACTTTGGGTGACACATCGTACATTTGTAGAGAAATGTCTGCAGGTGGTGCAGGTGGTGCTATTGATGCTGCGGTGGCAGGTGTTGCTGGTGCTGCTGGCGCTGGTGCTGCTGGTACTGCTGGTGCTGCTGGTGCTGGTGCTGCTGGTACTGCTGGTGCTGCTGGTACTGCTGGTGCTGCTGGTACTGCTGGTACTGCTGGTGCTGGTGCTGCTACTGCTGGTGGTGGTGATGTGAGGATTGGTGGATTGTAGAGCAATCTTTCAATGTCTTGAGGATCGACAGGTTCCTGCTTGACTTTATTTGCATAAAAGTCATAAAGTTGATTGATGTCAAACTCATCAGGGTCATTTAAAGCAGTGTTACCAGCAGTAGCAGTAGCAGCGCATTGACTTGATTCACCTTGTTCGATTTTGACCTCGTCTACCAATTGCATCTTTTGTCCAGCTTTTTTTGCTCTTCCAAGACGAGCCTTTCGTTTCTTTGCCTCCTGTTCTTCTGCCAATAATCTTTTCTTCTTTTGCCTCTTTGTCTCCTTCGGCTTTCGTGTAACGTCCCGAGCATCTGTTTCCAAGTCTAATTGACGATATTTTTCCTGGATTTCCTTATTGTTCCTCATATGCAAGTCGATTGGGATATTGCTTGCTCGGTCTGGGTTTGCTGGATCGCAAGTGCGAAGGATACGTTGTTGCGGCATTCGACCTGTTTTTAACAAGAACTGATCGATTTTACGCAAACAAGCCTTGCTTACAATCCTTCGAAAATATTGGACAGCCTTGTATAATTCGTAATGGGAGACATCGGGACCGGCGTACATTGCAGTGCCCAAATTACCATAGTAATATTCGGGTAAGCGAGCAGGAGCGTCACCAAAGTAAGGATGTAAACGCGAAGGACGACGATAGACCTCTTCTGGTAAAATCATATAATCCTCGATGATCCTTAATATCTTGCGAATCAAAGCTTTAGCCAATTCCTCTTGATGACAGCTTAACTGGTGATCCTGCTTGATGGCAGTTTCTTGAAGATTTAACAGATTTATTCGCATGATTTTTAGCGATGGTGCATTGAACGTCAAGTGAGACCTGACGGACTTGACAATTAACCTGAGTTCTTCACGTGGTATCAGGTAGGATTTCGGTGGGTAAGGTGGTATATCTGTAGCAATCAGCGCCAATTCCTCATCCGAAATAACATACTTGGGATCAGCCTTTTCCTTTCCCTTTCCCTTTCCTTTACCCTTGTTACCAACGGTAGGTTCAACGGGTTCATCATCCTCACTGTCGACATCATCATCATCATCATCGTCATCGTCATCGTCATCGTCATTATCGCTTGCGTTTGCCTTTTCCATCTCATAAACATAACGTGCGGAAAGAGGGACATCAATTACTGCTTGCATTAACCTTTGGTTTCCAGAACAGCCTTCGCTGATCTTGATAATGTCCTTTACTGATGGTTTGGATCTTTTAATGCGGGATAAGGATGGCTGGTCAGTTGTACTTGTGTCGGAACCACTAGTTTCTCTAAGTCGAATTCTTCGTCGCTGTCTCTTCCTTCTTTTTGTTTTGGAATTTCCAACCTTTACTGGTTTCGATAAATGTGCCGTGGTACCCAGATGTTGGATGGATGGCTGTGAGATGGTGGGTAGGTGATGGGCAGTGGATCGATGTGACTCGCAGTTTTGTGACACCATGATTTGCTGCGGCATAGAATGTGATTCTACATCCACACGTTGGTTGGTAGATGGGATCACGTCAGGTCTTGTTGATGGGGTTGTACTTGATCTGTCAGTTTGAGTTTCTTCAACAGTAGTGGGATGAGAATGGGGAGTGGTTACAGGTGTAACATTCACCCGACGAACGGGCCTACGGTTACGGGCAATCGAATTTCGAACCTGGTTTTCCAATAGCCTAATTTTTATTTGTTCTTCCCTTTCCTTAATCGTCTTTAACTTTCGATCTATGGAAGCTATACGGTTGTTGTTTTCTTGCAACTGAGTTTCCAGGACCTGACATTCTGTCTCCAACGGATCGGGGTACGTGATGGGAGACGCGTCTGAAATTTGGCCTGGCTCCAATTCATCGAAATGTTGTCTGGGCGAATTATCGGCGGTGTGAAAACTGGCGTCTGAATCGGAATCAGAGATATCCATGTTTGAAGTCGCAGCAACAACTTGGGCGATTGACGGTAACGATTCTTCTCGAAGACCATCGTCCGTATCAGATACGTCCATGTCAGAAGAATTACATGAGTATACAATCCTATTTGCCATGATTTGTAAAGGTTAGGGACAAAGGATAAGTTTTTTTTTTTTGTGTGTTTCATTTTTATTTTTTTTAGAAAAAAAAAAAAAAAAAAAAGCTACGTCACTTTTTTTTTCGAGAATGTCTACTGTTATTCCACAGTTTTTACTTACGGTTATTCAACCCCAGGATAGCTCACACAACTCCCCCGGAGGCCCATTGGACGGGACCCTTTGTTTCCGCCGAAAATTAATTCAGCTTCGTAAAGTTTGCCCAGGTGCAAATATTTTCTAAGTAAGACGGTACGCTTATAGTCGGGCCAAATCTAGCCAATAAAAGTGCTAGGAATAGTGTAAGGAGCCAATAACATTGCTCGAAATAGTGTAAGGAGCCAATAAATGTGCGCGAAATAGTGTAACTGGGTTTGAAATTTTTTTTTTTTTCTTTTTTCTATGTGCCTTTTGTTTGTCCCCTCGTGAATTTTGACACTTATAAATTGATCAAATTTCCACATAAAACACCGTTTCTTCTCTTTGTTTAACTATCTGTTTTTTAAAATAAGCATCTAATCTGTACCAGAATACATACATCATATAATTTAAGTAAGGAATATCTATTGATTAATTGATTGTCGTTCAATAGACACATTGCTTTCAAATAGTCTTAACTCCAAAATAGATGTCAAATATTTCTCTCAAAAAAAAAGGGCGTCCATCCGGCTCTAAAAGTAAACCTGGATCTAAAGCACCTGGTCCTAAACCGGCTCATTTAGTCAATCAATCCCGTTTAAGCTTTTCAAATGTTATTGCAACACAAGCGGAGAGCAGTAATTCTGAATTAGAAAATTTATCAATTTTACAAGATACATTGGTGATTCAACAATCTCAAGCAACTAATGATGATATTGCAGAAAACAATGAAGAGGTAAAAAAATTAACATAAACAATGCTGTAATTTTTGCGACTTACACGTATCCTTGAATAAGCATATTAGTACAGCATCATCTCAAAGCATTGCCACGAGTGAAGATAACAGAAACATTGGCTCAAATATTGCTGACGAGGTATTACCAGATCAATGATTTTTAAAATATTTAGCATACTGATTTTATACGTAACTTAGAACATTAATCAAGCTGCTGGTGTGGATCTTGATGTCGATTATGCCGAAGATAGTGACGATATTGATGAAACTCAACTTCTTGACGAGCTCACAGAGGAGCAATTTAATGCTCTTGAAAACAGTATTTCCAATATTCCTGAAAATGGATGTCTTGATAATTATCTTGGAGGCATACAGGACAATCTCAAAGGTGGAAATGTACCAAGTCAATATATCAATGGCACATTTTGGATCAACCCTCCAAGCGTTTCTTTTTCTTTAAAGCAAAAAATCAATCCCGAGCTGCTTTACCGCCCAAGAGTATTTGTATGGCTCCCTCAGTTTTTGACAAAGACTCCTTTGCACTGTCCAACATGCGCAAAACCACTACTAGCAAAAGAGTGGGTCCAAAAAACAAAGGCTCGAAGAATAATTGATCTGGATGAGTAAGTTACATAATTGGTTTGAGACTATGGAATGCATACTAACTATAAACATTTCAGCTGTTTCTATCTTTTGAGTGTTCGACTTAAATGTACAAATAAATCAACCGTTCATACATTTATGGGATATGCATCTTCAATTATTAGACAATTACCACCAAGGGTTCAGGCTGATTTCCCTGCTGTGCTTACCCATCGTTCTGGTTTTTCAAAGCAATTAGTAAGGCTCCTACGCACACAATTTCAAAATGCTGCCGGCCCTCATAGAATGCACCAAATTTTACGAATAAATCATACAGAAAAATTCGATTCCATTCAATTCCAGTACTATGATGCTTTAAAAGATAAGCTTGATGAACAAAAGATGGCTAAGAAGCTGGTAGGAAATGTTTCTACGGCTACAACATACCCAGAGTTCTCGACGTTTAATGATAGAAACGGATACAACGGATATGTACCTTCAGCCAATTACATAAGTTATGTTTATTGCTCAATCATAGATGAACTCAGGCCTTATATGAATCATCACACGTCACTTTTGGATGGAATTGTTTTAAAAGGAGACCATTCTTTTAAGGTATGCACACATCAGAATTCATATCCAAACAACACAGGCCAGCAATTAATTTTTTTTTAGATTATAAAACATATGGCCAAAATCAATGGGGTGTCAACATTTTCATGTCTGTATACCCTCTTGAACGAATACGAAGAAATTCGCCTACAAGTACTTGCGCCTACAAAGTCATTGGAACACTTGGCTCCATCTTTTAATAACATGATGGAGAGCTATAAAAAGTATGGCTTTAAAATGCCAGAGCTTTTCTACACGGACAATGTTCTTGGTGATCGGTTGTTCTTGGAATCGACAATACCTTCTCTCCTGAAAGACGTTATTCATAAAAATCCAACTTTAACAGAACAAGTCGATTTGAACAGCCCATTCAAAAATTACCCCGTAGCCAGATTGCCAGATAACATAACGGTATCAATTTTAAGTACTACTATCGACATTAATCAATCATGCCAAAAACTTCTTGACGAATGTTTACAGCAGGGTACAATTGCCATTGGATTTGACTGCGAATGGGCTGTAAGAGGTAAAAGATCAGCAATTTCCATCAGTGAGCAGTCTGGTTTGAAGTTCGTTCCTGTAGCTTTGGTGCAAATCGCTTACGGTAATTCTGTCTACTTGATGAGAATACACTCATTCGCCTCAGACAATCTACCTGAAAATTTAATCAAGATCCTCACTGATACTAAAATAGCCAAAATCGGAAAAAACGTCAGCGGTGATCTTACAAGATTTCGCTATTTTGGTCTCCAACAATGCCCTGGTCAACTGGAACTTGGTACCTTTTGCAAAGATAAGGATCTCATTGAAAGAAGAAATACATCTTTGGCCGATATATGTGGGCTTGTTCTGAAGGTGCAGTTACCCAAGACAAATTTTGTTCGTTGTGGCAATTGGGAAGCCCCAATCCTTTCAGAAGAGCAAATAAATTATGCAGCTTTGGATGCTTGGGTGTCATACGAAATTTATACCAGATACAAACATATGCCCACAGTTCATCAGAAAGTAACTGTCAACACAACAGCCGGTTCTTTTATTGCAATTCATTTGGACAAATCTGCCTCGTCCTCTGTTGCTGGATACGGCTATATATGCAATGATGATACCCCTCCTACAAATAATACCCATGAAGCACTTCATACCAACAGTGCACTGATTGTAAAAGTTGTGAAGATAACTATTCCTGGGTACCCTTTGGAGTGTTACAATGAGGGTCTGACCTTAGGTGATTTCCATGATATACCCTTCACTGTTTATATCAAATGCAAATATCTGTTTACAGCTTCAGAAAGAGTACATAATGTAGTTTCTGATACTTCTAATACCCCAATCATACAAATACCACCCATTAGCAGCGATACCACTTCTTCACCAATCAATACCAATAAGAATTCTGTCGACTCTCGTGTTTTAAAAGATGGATTTCATATTATGGACATGATCAAAATTAATAAGTCTCATGGAATGCAAAAAGACTTCATGCGTCGTTTCCGTGACATCATGTATGTATGTGACCAAGAGGATAAAGCTTTAGTAGAAAGTTATCTTGAAAGTATTGGTACGGACTGGAAGACACGGATGTTGGTAAACCCTGCTTGGATATTCGAACGTGTAAGAAGGCATATACCCCCAGCCGAAGAATTATACCCCGCCTTGAAATACCTTTTTGAAAGCTACGGTCCTCTCAGGTGTGAGCATTCCGGCCTTAAACTCTTCAATGACGCAGCTGTTGCCATGTCCCTGCATGTGTTGGATTCGGTGAAGCAAGGGCATGTCTCAGACGTTGTTAATGGGCCTCCATTATATACCGAAAAAGGCCTGGATAAAAACAATCTCATGACATATAAATGCTCCAGAGGAACAAGCTCGGTTGAAGGAGCATGCCATATGAACATTGTTCGAAGGTTTGCTTCTTACAATGCATCAGTTAGATTGACCGACTCAATTTTAGCCGACTACCGGTTATATCATAACCTCAATGTAAGTAATAAATGATTTAACAAATATTTCATAAACTGAAAGTTATACATCATCATAGGTTGGATCAATTAACAGATACGGTAAAAAGCATCAAGGTCATTATAGTCCTTGGCTTGTACTGGCTATAAATTTATTAAGAACTGAAGTAGGTCACGATACCGTTATGAATTATACCTGTGAACGCTATGGGAGCTACTTGAATTTTGAACAGACCAATGAAACGTTTGGTGTCGTCGATATACCCAGAACATTTGGCAACTCAATTGGAATTAGGCCTACTGAATCTCTTGCTCCAAAAAAAGTTAAAATAACAAAAGGTCGGATGACAGAACTCGCTTCTTTGCCTGTGGTAGAGCTTCCGAAAATTGGTTATTCCGCTAACAAGTTCAAATCCAAATATCTATCGAATTGTCAAGGCACCTTGTATGCTGTAACTGCTGTTCATACAAAGGAAGAAGTATGTCTTTTTGAAACTCTAATTAATACCCAAGGCCAAGAGAATACATCTATATACCAACCTTTTGATTCGGAAAAACCGAATTTCGAGCTTTTCGCTTTAACATGGAACTCTAAACATTGCCAACATGATACCAATATTTATTACAAGACACCAGGGCATTTAAAATCATATTTTAACATTTTAGAAGACAGGAAAAAATACGGAAATACTGTTCTCAAAAATATTGAAATATCACAAAGTGTTCGAGTACTTGCTGAATCCCCATCCAGGTTTATAAGATCAATACCTGCATTACCCAAACCAATACCCCCTATAGAGCAACATTTTCCACTTGGTACAATCAACCCACCATCACCTCAATTACAGATGATACGCCCTGCATATCGCTCCAGACATATCCCGGGTGCCACCCCTCTTACAATACCACTTTCACGCCACGTTACAGCTGAAGTAATCAATCTATCAAATAACAGAAAACGAAAAAGAGTATGTGTGGTATGCATGGTAGATAACTGTCCTGGAAGTTCCAAAGGTTCTCTGTGCAGTAACAAATGCGGACGTTGCAGACAAGAAAGCTGTACAGGTAGACACGTTAAACAACCAAAAACTGGGAAGAAAGATTTTGTACAGCCTTTGCCTTGTTTAAATTTATAAATATAGCTGATAATGTATGCTGGAATTGCTACCCGTCATTATTGGCTACAAACCCAAATCACTAATACCTAATTACAAATAAATCATGATATTTCCCTTAAATCACTTCAATAAATCTCGTAAAAAACAAATGGAACTTTACACGTAAAAAATTAAGTAAACCCTTCTAAAATCCAAAAATTTGGGTGCCCAAGGGCACCCAAATTTTTATGAATTAAATGCAAAATCAGATGAATTAAATGATATTTTAATGAAATGGCCCAACTATGGTTACACGGCCATTTCTTAGGTCACGTGATCCATTCTTTTTCTTACAAACATACCGCTTACAACTGGTAACGGTCTTACTTATATTACAAAGACTAGCCGTAGCCGTGATAAAAAAAAATGAGAGTATATCTTTATTTTTCTAAAAAAAAAATAAAGGGTAATATTTTAGCGTTTTTATAAGAAACAGTAGTTTTTATTAACGGGTCTCCTAGGGACAGCCGTTTATCTTACGGGTCTCTTAGGGACAGCCAAATTTTCTTAGGGACAGCCATTTTTCTTAGGGACGGTCAGGGTGCGCGTAGTCATAATGTTGGGATTATGATACTTTAATTAACATCAAGAGGTCAATATAACTTAACAACTTAAAATAGATATACATTTATTAAAACCAACATAGTGTAAACCAGTATATGTGTTTTACAGCTTACTTTCAGCTTCTCGTTCAAACTTTACCTTAATATTGCTGCGTAAGATTAAGATCAAACGAGCTCAAAGGCGAAAAAGTGATGATAGAATTGTCAAAATAAATATAAATCGTTTATTCGTAATTTTTACATTGTTTTTGATTGTATATCCTTGTTCCCAGGTCTACAGAACATCCAAATCACCGATCTTTCGCTGCGACTACGTGCACTTTGGCTGCCCCTGAGGAAAATTTGGCTGTCCCTAAGAAAAGCGGTTTGAGCCTTCACACGCTAGAAAACAGGCTTATCCGTAAGCGTAAAAAAAAAGTGCACAGCAGAAAAAAAAAAAAAGAGAGATGTTCAATATTGAATCTCATAAAATATAGTCATAGAAGCCTGTTCCTAGGACAATCCCACATTTCTTTTTCTTGGGAAATAAATATGTTGTTTTATTTAAGAAACTTATCTTCTGTAAGCAAAATGAACATTTTTCTTTTGACATACACAATTTTTCTCTTGTAAAAGCTATGTTACTTAAACATCATATCAATTACATATGACTGGGAATCGTACAAATGTATGTATGATAAATTTGCTTTATAAAAAACTGACATGAGTGCAATCTAGAACAGAAATAGGATACAATAATGTGACAGTATTTAGGAATCATCCCCAGATGTTGGATTCGATTGACATAGAAGGGCAGATCAATAAAATAGATTCTGGTACTCTGTATCTACTAATTAAATAATAATAACAAGACAATATTGAGATGAGTTATCCATCGCCTGTATTCATTTGTTTAATCAGAAGGTTTCAATTGAGTATAGTTATTAAACTAAAGTTTGAAGATAGGCAAGCAACGGTATGTGTGATGCATTCCTGAACAAACAAAAGGGTTTATTTAAATGTTCTGGATAAAACAAAAACCTCATATTGTTTTCTTTTTGCAAAAAGGTCATATCTTGGCATATCCCAGAACAAAAACAGCAAAAAAAAAAAAAAATATGTGCTTGATGCATAATATTTATGCAAATTTTTTTTTATTTTTATTTTTATCTGCCTCTCTTCTTGGACCAAGGCTCATCTTAGCGTTTGTTGAACACATATTGATATAATGCTCTCTAGCAACTAGGGGGGGGGGGAGACAAAGACTGTTTTTTATATTAAACATGAAGTTGATTCCAAACGAAAAAAAAGCTTTAATAATAGCTTTTTTTTTTCTTTCTCGCCCAACATGAATTACTGCTTGTTCTAAACGAATATTCTTATTTATGCAATGCAAGAATAATTTATATATATGTATAAATCCCTCAATTCTTATGAGGAGGTGGCTTTTACATAACGAGATTACACACATACAAAGGGGGTCAACACCCAACGTGACCAAACCCATATCTTGCAGATTGCAAAAAGAAGAAAATAAAAACCCTAAATCTGCATAACAAAAAAAAAGAGACAGAGAGATACAATTACAAAAAAATTTGTTTTTTTATAAGCTTGGTGTCATTCATAAAAATTATCATCCCTCCCTCCTCCTTAATATCACAAAAATAACATACTCCCCTTCCATATGCATGATGATGTGATTTATTAGTAAAAAAGATATATTAAACCTAAAATAATTAATACAAATTTCAAACTGACGAAAGTCTTGATGCTGGGTGACACCAAATGTCATCTCTTTGTAAAAAAAAAAAAAAAAAAAACTTGGTGTAACACCACTCGTGTTTGACAAAACCCAAAAAAAAAAAAAAAAAAATAGACAACAGATGCTAAGCAAAAAGTCTTTTATCATATGTGTGTAAAAAAAAAAAAAAAAAAAAACTAATTATAGTGTTTCCCTTTTTTGTCCTATCCTCGAGTAAATGAATTAGAATAGGAAGAACGGGTCTTTAAAAATAGAAGGTTTTCTCCCCGTCAAAAGGAAGAGGCCATTCTAGTCATGCGTGCGAGCCGAAAAAAAAAAAGATCTGTTATTGACAAAGGGATCTGATTTACTATTACATAATTTTTATTAATCTATATCTATACATGGAACGAAAATCTACTGAGGACATGCTAAAGCGCCCATAGGATCATAAGCAGGTAACACAATAGCCTTTTCATCTAATAAATCCACCAACTTTTTAGGAACAACTGCCTTTTCAAGTACAACCTGGTACACAAATTCATTGAACCATTCATCGCTCATGATCCAGAATCCCTTTTCACCCGATGTCTCTGACCAACTGTTCTCCACTCTCCATCGTACAGGGCTATTATTCTTATCCAAGTGCACACCCGTAAACATCATGGCATGTGTCATGGCACTCTCACCATACAACAAGCGTTGAGCCTTGGACATACTGAAATCCACATTGAACGTGAGCTTATAATCAAATACTTTGGTATCCATGACTCCCGTGTTGCGGTTACTGAATTGTCCTACATCACAACCAAACCATACGGGGTTACCAGACTTGAGTACGTCCATGGCAAGCTTCTTCATTTGGGAAGCAGTGGTATTGACATATTTGATGGGGTCTCCACCTACCACGTTACCAAGACGAGCCACAGTGTAAGCACGAGCATAAGGGTTACGAGGATCATTGATAAGGGACATTGTATGAGAGATCTGTGTTATGTAACAAAATGATGAGTAAGAAAAAAAAAATGGGGTTTCATAACAAAAAAAAAAAATGACTTACAGGATAATCGACCACATCCTTCATGAACTTTTTGGGAGTCATGTTGGAGAGCGAAACACACTTGTTATTTTTATCAATGACTTCCCAATCAAAGCTAAGGGGAGGTTCGCCTAAATAAATGACCATGATACGATAGATATCCTGCATCATTTCTTCCTTGATGACACGAATGGTATTCACGGAAAGACCATCACGAAGCGCCTTTCGAATTTGAGAGGCAAACTCTCTTAATTTGGCGGTGACCAACCAATTGAGACGAGCAGTGGAGGAAGAGGCGATGGTTTCGGGATAGGCAGTTTTGGGAACAATACCGTATTTTTCAATCAGATTAATAAACATTTGCCATTGTCCGCCATCACCGACAGGCGAGGTTAAAAGGTATTGTACTACGCGATCATTGATATCTTCCTCAGCTAAATCAATCATATTTTCAAGAAACCAGTTGGCCTTTTCAAGCTTGTCTACAAAAAAAAAAAAAAAAAAGTAATTTTTTTTTAGGGTCAAATGTTCGTGTTGTTTCGTCAGTGCGCCTTTACCATAAAAGAAAAGGAAATTTTGACTCAACTCAAAATCCTCGTTTAATCTGTATTTACGAATCACGGCCAAGCGGAGAACATTTGTGCCTGCGATATATATAAAAAAAAAAAGATAATTCAGGTTATACAAAAAGAAGAAAGCTTTTTTTATGTTATTAACCTAACCTGCAAAGATCCAACAACGACCACTTTGCTTTTGATTGGTAGCCACACCTTCGACATCCAATTTGACATTAAATACATGACGGTTCTTGAGAGCCACGGATGGATTGACCATGACTTGGGTAGGATCGCTATTCATGATGGCGTTCATGGCCAAGGCATTCTTCTTATCATGCCAAAAATGTTCCGAGAATTTATCAAGAGCACGGGGTGTCAGACTAGCATAATGATCCTTGCATTGTTGTTCACTCAAGTCTAAAATTGCCATGGATTGGCTCAGATATTTTTCCTGACTGGAGGTGCAGGTCATGTCTTGTTCAACCACTGCATTCATTTCTGCACGCTTTTCATCAAAGCTCTCTGCATGTCTTTCTGAAGATTGATTGGCTCCCATTTTTTTTTTTTTTTGTCTTTAAGAATAAAAAGAATATATACATAAAAAAAAAAATTAAGAGCGTTTAAATAAACACCCCCCTCCCCTTTGTTGTCTCCGAATCAAAAAAAAAAAAAAAAGTTGACATAATTGACAAGTTGTCCGTCGGTAATGGGTCCGGACATCTCTCTCTTTTTTACATGCAATAGCGGAGAAATTGCGTCTTTTATTATTAATAGCTTTTTTTTTTTTTTTTCTCATTGGAGGGGGAGGGAATAAGTCATTTTTAGAGACATGATGAAAAACAAGTACGAAAGAAACTAGAAATGATGGATCTGGGACTTGACTCTATCATGGGTGTATCTTCTTCCCCCACCATTGCAGTAGTAGTAAGAGCAGGAGACTGACTAGCAACGGAAGAATAATGAGAAACCATAGAAGCTCGATGACTGTATGCATGTAAGGAAGAAGGCGCGGGAGAGAACAGTTTGCGTTTCTCAGCAATGTAATGATCTATATTTATCTTATCTTCCTCTTCTTCTTCTGATGATACTGAAGACATATCAGATACACTACTATCATCATCATCTTTCGTCTCATCCTCATCCTCATCCTCTTTCTTCTCATCTGTAAACCCTCTTTCCCTTAATAATGCTTGTGTCCATAACAAGTATAAACTTTCATCATGATTATTTGAACTGATGGTGGTTTGTGATGGTGTAGCAGGTCGAGCCTCTTTCAGTGTTTCTACCATTATATATATATATTAGTTTTCTTTTGTCTTTTTTTAATTTTTAAAATGTCTTTTTTTTTTACCAAAATAAGGGGCACTGGTAGTGCTTAAGGAGCCATAGTGAGAACTGGAACCTTGTACGGTAGATAGATCTCGGACTATGTAGAAGGAGGGTTTAATACCATCTCCACACATACACACACACACACACACACACAAAGAAAATAAATCCAATTTTTTTTTTTTACCTTGTGCCTTCTCTATCGATGAACAAGCGGGTGTAGGTGGCAAATGTGAAGTCTAGGATGTACAACAACAACAACAGAAAAGATTAGATGGCTATGCATATTGTTAAAATAAAAAGCACGGTTTACATTAAAAGATTGATAAATAGGCACAGCAGACGAAGACATGTTTAAAAGAGTTTTTTTGGATAAGAGAGAGAGAGAGAAAGAAGGAGAGGAAAGAAAAAGAAAGGGAAATTTGTATTTTATACAAGAAGGGAAAAGGAGGTGTGTGTGTGTGTTTGCTTGTGGGTTATGTAAAACTTGTAGTCTCATAACGTTTAAAAAGAGAACTCCTCCCCCCCCCTTTCTTTCTCACTAAATATATATTTACGCCAATTGATAATCCAACTAATAACATGATTCATGAGTCTTTTTAAAAGATGTACTTTTTTTAAAAATTGTTGTCTTGAAGAGAATGATCCCATGAACACTTTTTTCTAGGTGAGTGTGTAGATCTTGTGGGGGGCGTACAGAATTGTATTCAGGTACGGGGTTTATGAATAAGCCCTTCTGATTGTTAATAGCACACGTGTATGTATATATATGCAATCAAGGGGTGTGTGTGTGTTGTATGTGTGTGTGTGGGGATTATATAAGAGCCAATCGATTCCAACATGAGGTGCATAAATCCATAAAAAAAAGTTCCATCATGATGGTATCATTTGTCTTCTTTAAGGGTGATTTCGTTTATAAGCTATTTTTTTTTTTTTATTTATTTATTTATTTACAATAATTTTTCGATTGTTTTAATTTTCTAATATTTTAGGCGTCAACAATGGGAAGCTTTGCCTTCTTCTTGATATCGCTGTAACAATTTCCACATAAATGATGTAAGAGCTTATTGCTTCCACAGGCAGGACAGGATGTGACGTTTTCTTTAATGGGTATACCCTTGTTGGAAGCTCTCATACGCTTCTTGGAGTGAGATGTCTTCTTCTTGGGTGCAGCCCAAAGAATCGCTTCTAACCATGTAGGTACTTCAAACGTGTTACGGGTCACACTCTCGCTAGACACAACTGTTGTTGCTCCTCCATTGAAAAATAAAGGGCTCACCGACAAGCTTCCAAATCGTGCGCTTTGTACCTTGACTATATTCTGTGTGTTGAAAACACTTTTGCTGGAAATTAAACGTAAACTCATTCTAATGAAATAAAAATCTTGTTAAAAAAATAAACAGGCCCCCTCTATATAAAAGAAAAAAAAAAAAAGCCAGTGGCTCATTTAACTTTTAAATCACCGCCCCTTATACCTGAGTAATGTATAGGCAATGTAATGTTGGCCGGGAATTGACAGTCTCTGATCGTAAGATGTTGATTAGAGATATATTTAGACTGGTTTCAGGCTGTAGCTTGAATAGAGATACGTTTTCTATAGTGTATTCTAACGGATTACGTCACAATGAAGTCGAAGTTTCTGATATATGTCTAAGTTTAATCCCTTTTGAGTCAAACTGGCTTATCCTGCGCTTTATTCTGAAAAGGCTAATAACGACCAAAAATTATAAAATGGAAAGAACTATTGTTTTATTATTGCTGTGTAATTCGTTAATAAACTCAATTGAGTTACACAAAAGATCTTTTAGCTAAGCTCAAATTCTTCACAAGGATCCTACTTAAGGAGAGCTAGGTACGACGCCTCTTCTTCAGTATTAAGGAATTTGAACCAGGGTTTTCTTCAACTCCTCCTGTACGGTCTTCACCTAATTCAGCTTCTGCTACTTCTTGTGGTTCACCTTCTACAACCCATTTTCGATATAACCAGTTATCTTTCGGTCTTTGTAGAAACAGTTTGATGTCATTAGCATGGACGGGGCTTGCAACCATAAGATGCCCATCCGAAATCACATACACGTTATTAGGTAATTTTCTTTCAATACGGTACGGTCCAATCCACTTGCTACCCAATTTCCCTTTGCTTATATCTCCTACTGTATGATTGAGTACCATTACTTGGTCACCTAATCTAAATGATCGAACGGACACTCTTTTAGCATCATCATAGTTTCTAGCTTGAGTTTCTTTGATAACCACTTGTCGCTTTACAGCTTCTGATAACACTGAATCATTCAATTTAATAATTTCTTCCAATCTTTCTTCCAACTCTAACATTTCATAATCGATTTCTTCATCTACGCCTTCTTCGATATTATTAATCATGGTTTGATCCTGTATTTTAGTTGTGTTCATTCTACTTCCGGTCTCCATCAACAGAACATCTTCACCTAAGTCCTTGATTTCTAGACAATCCGCAATTCCTCTGGGTTGCCGACCATGCAAAAGGAAAAATGGTGTGAATCCGTGTCCTCCATATACGCTGGTCCTGACGACATAACTAGCTGCTGATAACCAAGTAACCCAACTTCCGGGATATTGTGCACAGATCTTCTTTAACAATAATTTAAGGGTTTGGATTACTCTTTCAACCTTTCCTTGTCTCTGAGAATGGTTTGATGGACCTAACGCTAGCTTGATCCCATATTTAGACACCATTCTATCGACTATGACATTAACAAAATGCGTGCCTCCATCACTATACACAGTTGATGGGATACCGAATCTGCAGATCCATTCGTATAATCCAATGACGGCTATATCTGCCTGTGCTGTTACGCATGGGTGACATTCTACCCAACCGGTGAACATATCTATCAATACAAGTACATAGCTAAAGCTTCCAAAAGACTGTACGTTAGGCAATACACAAAAATCCATCATTATTTCGGTCATAGGTCCGTTTAGTGGTGCAGGTATAGACATCATAGGTACCACTGGCGCATTTTTAAGAGAATGGGCTTGACATATGTGGCATGTTTTAACGTATAACCGTATATCCTCGTAGTAATTAGGCCAGTAAAATTTTCGACTGACGTTGGTAAAAGTTCGAGCTATTCCGGCATGCCCTGAGAGCCAATGATCATGTATATTTTCTATTACTTTTCTGACTTCCGCTTCTTTAACTAAGATTCTGTCACCATATTTCTCGTCCTTCTTTCTGTAAATACGATCGTTCTCTCCGATGTAATAATATCTAGCCATGGCTCGTATTGCATTCCTTTCCTTTAGCTGGATATTTTCTCCAAAGGTTAAAGTGTTCAAAAACTGATACAGACATCGATAGCGCTCCTCCGATATTCCATGGAAAACGTCATCGTTAATCCCTCCACTTATGACATTATACACAGGTAAGTAATTATCTGTAATAATTTCTTCAGAAGTAGGCATTTCCATTAAACCTTCCTGATCAAACGGCATTCTAGATAGGCTGTCTGCATTCCCGTTTTGAGCCCCCGGACGATAATACACCGAAAAGTCTAATTCCATCACACTAAGCAACCATTTCACTACCCTCGGATTGGACTCCTCCTTGATTTTCATTAAATGCCTGAGAGATTGGTGATCTGTGATGACCTTGCATTTATTACCTAACAAATAATACCTATAGAATTTCAAGAAGTAGACTATAGCCAATAGTTCCAACTCCCATATTGCCATTGTTGTTTTTTCTATACCTATCAATGCCCGACTTCCATAATAGATAGGATGTAGGATGTTACCATCATCTTCATCAGCCTGAGTCAATATTCCAGATATAGCCTTCTTACTGCTATCACAATACAGAACAAATTCACGGTCGAATCTTGGGTGTGCTAGAACAGGCTCGCTACTCATCATTTCCTTGCATTTATCGAATCCCTTTTGCGCCTCTTCGTCCCAATTAAATTTGACGTTTTTCTTTAACAGTTTAGTCATCCCGCTAGTAACCTCAGAAAGCTTTGGAAAGAATCTTCGATAATATTGGATGCCTCCTAAAAAGGTTCTCAATTCCGACACATTCCTAGGTCGAGGCCATGACATATATCGCTCTACTTTGGAGTTATCCATCCTGAATCCATTAATTCCACACATGTATCCCAATATCTTCAGTTCCTGGTATCCGAACTTGCATTTCTTTAACGACATGGATAGACCCACTCTTTCAGCCATACACAAAATTTTGTCTAGTTGCTGTACATGCTTCTCAAAATCTGAACTGTATACCACACCATCATCCACGTACATCATGAAGTAGTCAAAGAGTGCTTCCGAAAACGTCCGGTCCATACATCTCTGCCACCAAGCTACACTCGAATGCAATCCCATAGGCATTACGCACCATTGATAAATTCCTAGAGGGGTAATAAACGCTGTATACTTTCTTGAATCCTTATGTACCGGTAATTGCCAAAATCCTTTTAATGCATCCATGATAGAGAAATATTTAGCCTTGCCTAATTGGGTGAACAACATATTAATATCAGGTAATGGGTAAGGGTCTTTCATTGTCACCGCATTTAGATTCTTATAGTCAATGCATAACCGATATAGATCCTTGGTTTTAAGCCCTGGAGCAGTAGAAGTATATCCTACAACATTTCCATCTTCTAGTATAGCCTGTTTTCTTCTCTTGGTATCACCGACTCCAAATTTCTGTCCAATAAGATGTTCCATGTTATCTTCTTCTAATGAATCTTCAGCCTCTTCAATGAAATCTTGGATAGTGGTGTTGTAAATTTTACTACCAGGCACTTTCTTGACATTGGACAGCGAATTTTTATTGTCTGATATTACAAATGGCTTGGCTTTTCCTTTGAATTGTATCTTCTTCTTCTTATGTCTCTTTTCTATATCCGAAGGGATCAACACCGTTCCAGCAGCCCATTCACTATTGGGGTCCGCAGCCTCGATTTTTCCAGTGCGCAATAACTCCTGTAGTGTTTCTTTAAGCCATAATTGAGCGTCATGTGGCACAATGTACGCACGAGATCGTTGTGGTTTCGCATCAGGTTTCAAGTCAATAATGTAAGGGTCAGTATTTAATGTTTTTATTTCCTTAAGTGAACTAACAAATACGCTCTTATGCTTATGTAACACATTTAAAATCTCCCTTTTTTGCTCGGGCATTAATTCGGGGTTGATGTCAAAATCACCGCAATCTATTTCTTCAATAACAGGTTTTTGCTCGGTTTGCTTGACATTGTTGACCTTCTTTACACTGTCATTTTTATTGGACCATTCGCAGACAACAGACGTAACATAAGACTGCATGTTGTGGTAATAGTTATTCTTGCTGATAGCTTCGGCAGGTAGATAAACGGGTGCGGTGGAAACGGAAGGCATAGCTTGGTCGCGTGGGTTTTCCATCATTTCTGCCAGATACTCTTGAATAACCTCTACCTCGGTAACTACATTTTTTTTTGTCTTGATACTCTCCATTGATAATTTATCGTCGCCAGCAGGAGTAATTATTCCGATAGCATCACCTTTCTTTATCATTACCTTTTTATTAGTTGCATTAGCAATAACTGTTTCTGCTACTCTGGTGGTATGGATAATTGTCGGGCACAACATTACGCCATTTACTGCACTGGCATATGCAGGAACAAGCATGTGCACCATCTTAGTATTATCTAAGACTGTAGGTTCCGCGTATCTGAGAGCTGCGATGCTAATCTCCCAAGGATCCAGAATCAAGTCCTCATTCAACTTCACTATTTTGTCACCACTCTCCCCACCTGATAATACTATCTGCATTATTCTATTGCTATTACCCAATTTTGACGCCGTAGGATTTATTCCAGTTCCCTCGTGCGTATCGATAATAATTTGCTCTACTACCACTTCACTGTCGTCTTCATCTAAGATTTCGAAAATCAATTCCTTACGAGATACATCTAACATGGCGTGTGCTCCTTCGAAAAAATCAATACCCAAAATCAGGGGGAAGTTATCTAGATCTGCTACGATAAACGTATGGCTGACTTCTAATTCCACAGAAAACAAAATAGCAACATTTCGTATTAACCCCATGGCGCTTTCCTTAGCCCTTCCTGCAAAACTCAACGATAGTCCAGGCACTTTTTCGATACGATTTTCCCATTGTAACTCCTTGACTACTTCATACGGAATAATAGAGGCATTTGCACCAGGGTCCAATAGCGCATCGTAATCTCCTTCACCTATAGACATTTGAACCACTTGGAGTTCAGTACCACTAGCACCCGGATTGTTACGATCTGTGAATGATTTTGTGAAAATCTGATTTCTTTGTACAACATTATGGATATTATTGTCTACTTTCCTTACGGGATTGACATCAGCTAGCGTCGCCGTAGCTAACGATGATGAAGCATCGCTGGGAGTGGCCAATGTCGGTGGCACTATTGTTCCACTAGTAACATTACTAACAGATTTATTACTAGCAAAACCTAAAGCTTCTTTCGCTTGTTGATTGTGAGATGGACACAAGAAAAGGAATTCCGCCAAAGGAAGGGTCACCGTCAAGGACCTCAAGTATTCCGCAGTGTTGAATTTTTGGTCCAGTTTACCTTCTTTGTTGATCAATAAGGGATGTTTCTTAGTAGCTTTGTTTACTTGAGATGGCCGTGGTAATCCTTGAGCTAATGCTTCCTTGTCTAACAACGCTATCTCCTTCTTTCTAGCACGTGCTTTAGCTAGTTGGATAGCTCGTCGTGCACGTTTCTGAGTCTCCCATTCTTCAGCGGATAACATATCAACGTCTTGTTGCTCAGTTTCTCCGTTTACTGCATTTATAATATTTGTAGGATTTTGTTCACTGGTTAAGGTGATATTTAAAATTGGGACACCGTTACCTACTGGCGGTGTCCTTCCCGAAAATCCTGGTTTTGTGCTTGAGTTTTTCTTGGCTTTCTACATCCACTAGCTGTGTGATTCTCATCACCACAGTTACCACACGAGGACGGACAGTTTCTTTGTATATGGCCTTCTTCATTGCAGTTGTAACATACTCGAGATGAAAAGGATCCAGAGTTAGTGTTGCCGGTCACTGAGGATCGTGGAACTTTCAAGGTATCACCATTGCCTTGAGCTTGTTGATTAGCTACTTCTTGAGAATTACCATTGGATTCTTGCACTCTTCCATTATTGTTACGGGGAGCGTAAGTGGGCTTTCTAACATTCTCACTACTAGATACATTGTTAATCTGTAACATATTCATGTTTTGTTGTAGCTGAAAAAGCTCCCATTGCTGCTTGATGGTGTGTAATTGTGCGGTGTTTACGTTATAAATATCAAATCCATTACTGTTACTAGCGGTACCATAGGATGTATTACTTCCAAAGCCGTTGTTCATCAAAGGGGCCAACGAGACACGTAACTCTTCTCTCATAATCCAATCTGCTTGAGCTAATTGGGCTCTCAAATCTTCTAATGAAGTAGGTGCCGCACGTAAGTTCCTTTGAGTTACCAAATTTAAATTTTGTACCACATCTGCAACTAAAGTACTCTCTTCGTAATTCTCTGTTTTGTTAAACTTCTTGAATAGATTTACTTTTTCTTTAATATAATTAACTGCATCTTCATTAGGGCCTTGCACTCTTCTATTGAAAGCCATTCTAAGCCTGTACTTGGTGGCGTTAGTTAAAAAGTGATTGACGAACATGTACACAAAGGATCCTTCTTGATCTTCGGAGCCATAAGCAATGTCTGACCAACTCGTTCTGCGAAACCATGATAAGGCAGTATCTCGTAAGTGAGATCCAATCACAGCGATTTTCTCTTTGTCCTGAGCACTAGTAAGAGAAGAGAATGTGGGTAGATAGGATATTTGTTCTAAGAAGTCATAAATACTTTCACTTGTATCTAGATATTCTCCACTGAAGGGGATAATCATAGAACCTTGTACACTATTAGTTAAATAAACAGGCATTGGACCTGGATACATCATAGGCATGGGTTGAGGGTACATTCCATACATTGTCGGGTTACTCATAAACTGATTGTTCATGTTGTAAACTTGGGTTGGGGATGCTTGGTTAGTGAGATTTTGTTGTTGAACCTGTTGTAGGAACTGTTGAAACTGTTGTTGTTGTTGCATAATATTTAAGACGAGCGGTTGTATTTTTTTACGAAAGGATTGTTATTATTTAAGTCAAAGCGCCCAGCTACTCCACCATGTAATGTTGGCCGGGAATTGACAGTCTCTGATCGTAAGATGTTGATTAGAGATATATTTAGACTGGTTTCAGGCTGTAGCTTGAATAGAGATACGTTTTCTATAGTGTATTCTAACGGATTACGTCACAATGAAGTCGAAGTTTCTGATATATGTCTAAGTTTAATCCCTTTTGAGTCAAACTGGCTTATCCTGCGCTTTATTCTGAAAAGGCTAATAACGACCAAAAATTATAAAATGGAAAGAACTATTGTTTTATTATTGCTGTGTAATTCGTTAATAAACTCAATTGAGTTACACAAAAGATCTTTTAGCTAAGCTCAAATTCTTCACAGCAAGATCTTTGACGGAGTTTATTAAATGATAGTATAATAAACAGAAATAAGAGAAGATTACAATTGTCAGAAAAGCAAAAGTAATTATCTAGAACGGGTTAATAAGTGCAATTACTCTCAGGCTTTTACACGTATTCAATAAAAATAAGAAACAGAGGATCAGATACAATGTACAATGATTAAACGAAGCTTGTTCGACAAAAGCTTAATAACCCAAAATATTTTATAACTGAAAGAACGATGATTTATTTCAGAGTGCGGATAAACAGAATTAAAGCCCAAACTTTCTCAGTCCCCAGTGCCAAAATCCTATTCTTCACTACTCCTGTAAAGTCACGCTATTCACTCGAAATATTATGCGAGAGACATGTCTGGGGGGACAATCACTCGGAAAATTGAGTCACCGGATCGACCGGAATAACCGACGTAGCCAGACTGGCTTGTCGGTATTTATTTGATAAGTCATACCTTTTAAACGAAATGATGTTAGTATCTGTACAATTATATGTGTTTACCGTCGCCATACTTATGTGTATTATAAAAGGTACGCCTAAATGGCGGAAGCGGCTGAGCATCGATCGAGACTATGGAAGAAAAACCAATTAACCCAATGTTTTTTGCACCGTTTTGATCACGGTTAATGGTTGTTGATTTTGAAGAGATTCTTCTTGGGCACTCCGAGTTGTTGCAAACTACTGCCCCTTTGAGCCTTTTGATTTTGCCGTTTCTCCTGACAAGTTGCTTACTTGTGCAAGAAAAACATGAGCTGCATGTCACTGTTGACTTGTACTCATCAACCACCGCAAAACTGTCCAATTCTACACTTTTTAGTTGTGTTATAAAAGGGTCTAAGCTTCTTCTAGTATGACCCTTTATGTAAGTCGAAACACCAGACCAGTTTCCCAGAAATGATATGACGCTACGGTTTTTACCAGAGTTACCTAGAAGTCGGAACAGTTTCTGCCTATGTGAGGAATGCAGATGCTGGTAATATCTTTTCAGACGAATACTCCTAGTGACTTGACGCTGGTTTAGATACGACGGTGTAAGCTCCTTTTTGTTTTTTATTTTTCTTTGTCTCTGTATCATGTGCTTGGTGTCTAGTATAACGCTATTTACTCGCTTTGCCGTCAGTTCAAAGGTCACTTCATTTTCGACATCGTGGTCACAATTTTCCAGACTTTCCAGTGCGCTATACCTATTAATACTTTGAAACATAGAAGAAGATTTGGTTGCACTTATTGAAGCAGTTGTTACAACACCTGGATCTAAGCCTTGAATAATTGCTTGGCCTGATATGATGCTATTTTGTGATTTTTCAGAAAGACATATACCAGCTGTTGGGGTTGGTTCATTCTGATTATGTATCCCTTTGTTTAAGCAATACATTTCTGAGCTCTTGGTCTTAATTGATTTATTCAAAGAAAGAAGTTGACTGTATATTGCGTTACATTCCTTGCGGCTAGTCTTCAAGTTTCGATAGAGGTCTGAATCACAAGTCATTGTACCTAACTTTTGGTTTTTTCTAAAGGTCTGGCCAAGATCCATTCTAGTATTTTCTATCTCACGAACGTTTTTACTCAAACGGACTTGCAATGCTTTTTCTTCTTTGATTTCTTTGTGAAGACGTTCGACCTTCAGTTTCCTATTTTCTGTATTACTATCCAAAGAGGTAAAACTACTTGTAGAAGTAACGTGCGGCACTTCTTCCTTTTGCAAGTTTTTATACCCAAGAAAGTTTAAGCTGTACTTATGACAAAACTTAAATGAATACATTGGGGTTAGTTTTTGTTCCTGGATAATTCTTTCAATCATGTTTAAATTGAAAAAGTTTGAAAAAACCGCCTTCTTGTCCTCTATGGATTTGATTGTTGCCGAACTCGTAAACATATTTACACCATCGAGCTTGAAAATGTTGTACTCTTTAGCAAATAAAAGATATAAAGTCCTGGTATCAACATTGATAGACATTTTTTGCTTTTCTTCGACCTTCTTTGGAAACATTCGATTCTCCTTAAATCTTGTACCCGTCGGACCAACAAACTTGACCAGTGAGTTTCTGATTTTGCGCATCTGAAAAAATCTGAAAGCGTTTTTCTCATCTTTTTTACAACTTATTAGTCGTAACTCGTTGACTATTCTAGCAGAAGTGTCTAATGCATGGGCGGGTATAGATTCTTGCTTATCGTAATAAAGTTGCTTTTTGATATAGGCTGCGTCTACATTTCCTTCGATAGAAGGGGACGTAATCAACATTGTGCATACTGCACACAAAGCTTTAATCTCTTTGGCTGACAGGTCTTTGACATCGTTATCATTGGTATCTAACTCAGTAACATTATCAATTATTACTAAATCTTCGTCATTCTCATTAAAATCTTCGGCGTCTTCTTTGTGTAAAAATTATAAAAACGAAGCTTTTTAAAAACAATACGTATGACTGTGTCCCATTAATTATTACCTTCAAATTCGTTGGAATTATCATCTTTATTTACAGGTGGTTCCAAATCTGAACGGCCCCTCTCACAAGAATTGAAAACACCGTCGATAAGTTTTTCCACAACATGTATTTTGTTCAGCTTTCCTGCGTTATATTTTGCAATCGCGTCAAACAAATCTATCATGACCCTTTTTTGGTGTCGCTTTTTAACTGTTTTGGGGGATTTTTGTGAATTTTGTTTCTGCTTCTTTGATGCATGTGGATGGCTCAGACGATGGGATTTCTTCGGACAAAGATGCAAGCGTAAAATAAGGGTAAGTGTGACTCTCAAATCAGAAACAAATCTTTGATAGGTCCACATGTTTGAAAAATTGGTAAAGAACTGTTTACACGCAGAAACTAAAGTTGGTGTGGTTGTAAAGTCACAATAGTTTTCGCTTGATATTTTTCTTGATACGTAGTCAATCACCCTATATGACGAGTAAAATAAGTTAGGAATCACTGCTCTCAATATAATAATTAAGCATATCTACTTACGGGTGTTTATACTCGTGTGGTTTTTTTCTACCTACTGAACTGGAAAGCAATTTCCAAAAGCCTTTAAACGTAAATATATCACTTTGTTTTAAAAATGTTTCATCACTGTCATCTATAATCGCGATTTTCTCTTCGCCAGTTTCAATTTTGAGTGAGGGCAAATCAATGAATTGAAAATCAAAAAAGGTGCGCTCTCTAGAAGGAAGAATATCACCTGATGTAATACCGTCAACCAAAATCTCCGTTGCTTTCGAAAGGCCAGAACAGCATTTATCACAGATCTCTTGCAGATCTTCGAGCTTTTTCAAAAAGATGCTATAGTCCAAGTCTTTATTAATTACTCGTTTTAGGCTTCTACTGACTGTTCTATAAGCATTATCTTCTACATCTTGGTCTTCATTTTCATCGATTGCCGTATCTGTATCCTCAGGCGCACTATCTTGTATTGATGATTCTAAGTTTAAACCCATAATAAAGTCACTGATACATTTATCGATGCTGATTTTGCCAATTTGTTTGAGTCGATTGATTTTTTGTTGCACCCACAATGCTGACGTTGGTATATCTTCAAGCTTAACGGTCGGAAAGTGATTTTGCCTGATCAACTGCTCAATCTTTGTTTTTACAATACCAGAAGAGCCTGTTGGAAACTGTTTCGTTGATAAAGTTGACGAAAATTTTGTATATTTTCAGATAAGGTTTTGTGCTTGTCAATTTTGAACTTGGACCATTTCTTTTGATATAATGTGTTCGTTTCTTCCACAAGCAGCCTTATTATTTCATCATCTATGACAGAGGAGACACTTTGTCTCTTTGCTCTAGGTTTTTTCTCGTCTGTGGCTCGTTTTTTAGCTACAATATTCTTGAGAATTTCACTGGTGGGGGTGGTATCACCTGACATATCTTTGGGTCTGTTTTTGAGTTCCAATCCAAACCATTCAACAGTACCAGTATACGAATTAATTGATTTTAACACACCAAGGTACGGTAAAGAGCGGTCTTGACGGTGCTTGTTGTTGGGATGAATTATTGCTGGTTTGGACCTACTTGAAAAGCAGTAGATTGTATACCCATAGACTTGACTAAAAGCGTAAAGCAATAACATATCTTTTGGAACAGCAGTAAGATTTGGATGCCTATTTGAATGCAACACAAAATTATTCTCCAATTTTCCATTAAGAACCCCAACCAAGTATTGTATGGGTGAAGTAACCATCATTATGTCGATATTTTCGTCCATTTTTTTACGAACTACATGTATTTTATGTTTCTCCAGAAACTTGACAGTGTTTTTAATACTTTCATTAAAACTATGCGTATAATTATTAATTGCATTAAGAATATATCACGAAAACTGTTATCAATAGGCATGGTAGGAGAAGTAATGTTTATGTCAACATCTTGGCAAGAAAAACGAAGCAGCTGCTCATCTAGTTGCCCTAATCATAGACGCATTATAAAAACAGAAAATTATAGGTAAATGATAATTTTATGTACCTTCTCTACCCTTTCTCTTATCCAAGCGCTTTGTTACGGAGGATGCTTTAATTGTTTTAGGTCAGTCATCTATTGCTTTACTAGGAGCTAGTATCTACTTACGTTCTCCTGTGCTATTGTCGGATAGTGAATGTTTACGCTTCATTAACGAGAAGAGCACGAAAGAGAAACAATACATTGGCAACTTTGGGTTTTTTCATTAAAAAAACCAGTCTCCATTATTAATTTTATTGGTTCATACGAATGAATCTTTCCATCAGTATCAGTATCATAGCCAATCGTAAAATGTTATATTTTTTATATTATTACGATGCCTTTGTACAAATTACCAGATATACACGTATAAAAATACGGGAAAACGTATGTGTGGTAAATCGCATATGGATTAGATACAAAAAACAAATTCATATCTCGATATAGTTGATAACCGCATATAACTATTATCAAGCCCATAGGAAACTGCTAAAATACGGTCAGTAATTTAGGGTTTCACTGTAAAAGAGCAACCCGGGTAGATGAGGACTATATGTCATTGGCATCATTAGGCAGCCAAGGGTAAATATAACAACTATATATTATGCGAATCATTTCATCAATCAAAGCTACTGGCTAGACACCTTCATTTAATGACTCGAATACAACACCTCCAAAAAACGCTTCACCACCTTTTACGTGATCCGAATAAAGCGCAATTGTCATTTCATATCCATAATCATCTTTTGGCTATCTAAATTTCTGGTAGGAGTGTTTCTAATACTGAAAATTTTCGTTTCTCTTCTTGTATTCAGAAAGCAGATATTCAGGTTCAATTGTATCATGATGAAGTACGTGAAGCTCGCGAAGTATCTTTTGAACTCTCTCTGGACCAAGTTTCAGAAGGTCTGCAAATACTTTTGACATTCTTTCTCAGTAAAAAAGAACAACATAAACTCAACTTAAATTCAAGAGGGAGCTGTTCAATGATTTCTGGATCATGCGCATTATATGAAGCATCACATTTTGAGTCACAGCATCTATATTGCATTGATTTATAAAGCTAAAACAACTAGCATTTCAACTAAAAGAAGGGGGGGGGGAGCAATTTAGCATACACAAGGTATAAAAAACCTTTTCCTGCAACACCTGAACATATCCACAATTCTTCGAGCGTGAGGCTTTTTATTGTAGCCTTTTGTTCCAAGCTTCTTGATACAATTGTTTCTAAAACATCAATCCTCCCAAACCTTTGCGGGTAATCCAAAGAAATACTCGTGGTCTACATAAATAATTATATTTTTTCTTTAGGAAAGAAAAAAACGACACCAGCCCTATCCAAAAAATACGATTGTTTTATTCAGAAGAATATCGTTCGTTTATTAAACTTTGAAAGATCTCAAGATACTCGATCAGTACACTGTTGTCAGCCATCTTCCCCCGGTTGAATCTTTAACTGAAACCTCAACTAGATTCTTGACTAAATCTTCAATCAATTCATCGACTGGTTCTTAGACCAAAATGTGACATTGACATTCTTAAGTTTTTTTAACTACGAACTATCCCATATTTCTCGAAAAATTAAGAGCACTTAGGCAACTGGATTTGTATTTATGATTGCATCGTTTAAACTGTTGACAATTCTGTTTAATGTGGGTTTTTTTCTGTCAAATCGTTTTGCGGAAAAGAAACTTCGAGGCTTTGTAGGTTTTTCCAACTTTTCGCTTGGCCATTTAAAATTATTGTAAAACGCCAGGAGTTTTTTATATAAAAGCCGGTAATTTCACTGTATCCAATTATATTGTTTTTTACTAGCGAAGCAGTCCCCCCCGCGCTCTCACTCGAAATATTTTTTTTTTATTTCTTCATTACTATTTTATTTTCATTCAATGGAGAATACATTACCAAAGTCTAGCGTAAGGATACATACATTCGATTATATATAAAATAAAACATGTAAGACTCACCCCTCAAGAAAGCCTCTTGGTATTCCCAATGCCAAAGTAGCCGCTGGTTCTCCCAATATGGGACAACCCATGAGTTCCTCTTACGAAAACCGTTGGTTGTCTGCCGGCGATGACTCGAGCAAAAAGGGTTCTCCCCTCATCCACCGTCGAAAAAGTATCACACCTACTATTACTGCCTCCTCTGCTGAAGAGAAAACAACAGGTGTGCCTGTCAAAGAAAAGAAGGACAAGGTGCCCGCTAAAGAGAAAAAAGTCAAGGAAAACACTCGTCCTCATAACCCAAACGCACCTCCTCCCAAGAAGGCACAAAAGGACATGACAAAAGCAGAGCGTCGTGCTTTACAAGAAAAGCAAAGACAAGCTAAAGAAGCTGCCTCGAAAGACAATGACCACAAAAAGAATCCTGCTGCTGCTGCTGCCGCTGCCGCTGCCGCTTCTACTGCGGCTTCAGCTGCTCCCACCTCTGTCTCTGGTATCGCCGGTGCAGATTCAGAAGCTGCCAAAAGAAAGAAGAAACCTACTCGAGATCAAAATCAAGTACCTTGGCTTCTTCATTTAGACGTTCCCAAGGTCTCGGAAGCTTTGACAAAGGACCTTCATCCTGCTGTACTTCAACTCGGCTTGTATTTCTCTGAATATAAAATCGTGGGTTCCAATGCTCGTTGCGTTGCCATGTTGGAAATCTTTTCCAAGGTAATTTATTACCCCCCCCTTTTTTTTTTTGACGTGCATCATTTATAAAAAAGAGTTCTTATTTTTTTTTTTTTTTTTTAGGTTATTTCAGATCACAAACCACCTTCCGACGCCACTTTCTCTCGACACATTCAAAAGCATTTGGACCCCCATATCGCCTACTTGCTCAGTATTCGACCCATGTCACTCAGTATGCGTGAATGTATTCGTTGGTTAAAAAAGGAAATGGCCGATATTGTAGAAGAAGACCCCCCCTTGAGCGATGATGATGCACGTACTCGATTGACCGAACGTATTGGTCATTTTATCCGTGAAAGAATCACCATGGCCGATCAATTGATTGTTCAGAACGGTCTACAAAAGATCCAAGACGGTGATGTGATCCTGACTTACGCTAAATCATCTGTCGTTGAAAGTTTATTATTAGAGACCAAAAAGAAGGGGATTGATTTCAAGGTCATTGTGGTAGACAGTCGTCCCTTATTTGAGGGTAAACATCTCTTACGTCGTTTAGTAGCGGCTGGTATCGATTGTTCCTATCATTTATTATCCAGTGTCTATGTCGCACTGAAATCCGTTACCAAAGTCATTATGGGCGCCCATGCTCTCCTGAACAATGGTGCTGTGTACTCACGTATCGGTAGTTCCATGGTAGCCATGGCAGCCAGTGATAAACAGATCCCCGTCATGATTTGTTGTGAAACTTACAAGTTTGTCAACCGTACTCAAGTGGATTCGTTCGTCTTGAACGAGTTGGGTAATCCCGATGATTTAGTCAATACCAAATCTATCACGCATACACATTATGCTAAAAAACAGGATGAGAATGCCGTTTTAGCCAACTGGAGAGAACAACCCGATCTCAGATTACTCAATATTTTATACGATGTGACTCCCTCAAAGTACATTACGCTGGTGGTCACTGAAGTGGGTTTAATTCCTTGCACATCTGCACCTGTTGTAAGTTTTTTTTTTTTTTTTTTATATATATATATCTCGAATATTAATCTCTCACTTTTTTTTTTTAACAATCATAGATTTGGCGTGAATACAAGTAAGTGTTATTTATCTCAATGGGAGATGATTTTTTTTTTTTACTAACATCCAATACTTTTTTTTTAGCGAGGAATTTGGCAAACGTGTAGCATAAAAAAAAAAAAAAGAAAAAAGAAAGAAAAAAAAGAAACCCCCTTTTGTAGATTAATACAGCAATAAATATCAATTTTTTTTTTTTTTTTTAATTATCTTCCTTGTACTTTAAACCAATCTCCTTTCTCCAAGCATCCATAGCGATGCTTTGTCCAATGGTATCTTCCCAGGTCATGTAACGACACTCATGTTGACCATTCAATACAGCATCAGCTACAGCATCCGCCTCATAGGCAAACAGATTTGTCTCCTCCAATGGCACAGGAATGATCTCCTTCTCTTGACCATACTTTGTATATTCCAATTCGACCGCACCCAATTGAGGTAAATCGGGACGCCATAAATTATTGACCTTGACAGATCCTTCACTACCCAAGACCTCGACACTACAATCACTATCGGAAAAGATACCAGTAAAGACTTGGGCGGTCACACCATCCTCGAATGCGAGACTGGCATTGGACCATTCATCTACCTTTGTATCGGGTTGGATATAGCCTGTGGCCTTGATTTGCGTGGGGTTGGCAATACCCTTCTTTTCAATACCAGCAATCAAACGACAAAAAGACATGGGATCTAGCAAGGAAAAAAAGATGGTTAGACATTTTAGCTTTTTAGCTTTCTTTAATAAGAAGACTCACATCCGCCGATATCAAGGATGGCACCTCCACCCAATTCATTTCTCCAGAGTCGGGAAGAAGGACCCAAGGATCTACCATCAAAGGAGAAATTAGCACGAATAAATTTGACCTTGCCAATAGCACCGGACTGGATCAAATCAACCAATTTCAAGGTTTGAGGATGACAACGGTACATGTAGGCTTCCATCACAAAGAGACCTGCTTCTTTGGCGGCGTCCAAAATATGTTGTACTTGAGCATGCGTCATGGCCATGGGTTTCTCAATGAGCATGTGCTTACGGTATTGGACTGTGGTCAATGCCAATTCGTAATGATAAGGGTGAGGTGTACAGAGATAAACAATATCGACTTGGTCGCAAGAGAGTAACTCTGTATAAGACCCGAAACATAACTTTACCCCGAATTCTTGGCCAAACGCTTGAGCGGTTTCCAAGGATCGACTACCGACGGCTACCAAGGTTCCCTTTTTGGCCACTGCAAGTGCTCTAGCAAATGTATGAGCAATATTACCTGTACCAATGATACCCCAACGTAACGACATTTTTTTTTTATATGTATATAAAAAAGATAAAGAAGAGTGTGAATAAAAAAATAAAAAAAAAGTTGAAAACACGAGACCCCTTTTTATCTATTTTTTTTTCCAACAGGGTTTTCTTGTAACACACCCCCCAACCCTCCCAATACATAATACCGTGTGAGCCCTGGATTACGTAAAGATCGGGAGTTTGAAACAAGCTGGTAACAAAAAAACACACACACACACTGTTGAAGGCTGATTATTTGACAGTCCAAGTTGGTTTTTTATAAAAAGAGAGTGGGATAAAACATGCCTGTTTACCTCTTTTTTTTTTTTTTTTTTGATTGTGGAATGCCAAGCGATAGATTTTCCACCACTCTATATCTATTTTCAAAAGGCGCCTCATTAAAAAAAAAAACTCTTTAAGGGATCAGAATATAAAAACTACTTGGGAGGCGCCTCATCATCCTCCAGTGAATTATACTTTTTTGGGTGGGTGTTTACATACTCTTTTAGTCTATTCCATCTCCTTAAGATAAGAGTGTATGTGGTCCTTACCATTATCTTGGTGAGCCTAATCTTGAAGGATTCTTTATCGTATCTGGGGGTGCAAAAGAAGGGAGGGTCCTATTTGGCCCATGTCTTTTTTTTTTTGAAGCGTGAAAAAAAAAATAATAGGAAATGCTTTTTTTTTTATGGTCGTGCTTTTGATGAAAAGCATAGAATTCTTTTATGAAAGTTCACCTTTAAAGAAAGTTTTTAATTTATGATGGATGGTCATAAAAGGAATAGCTCCACACGCCCAATTTTGTGCCATGGCGAGCGCTACATTAAAAAAAAAAAAAAAAAAACCTCTTTTTTTTTGAACAGGCGCCGTCTACAGGCCATCATAAACACAGAAAAAAGAAAATCTGTATTTTCTATCTCTCTCTCTCTCTTTTATTTTATTTGCCAAAAGTGTAAAAAAAAAAAAAATAATAATAAGAAAATGACGTTGGATAACATACCACCAGCGTATGGGTATTCTCCCGAAAGAAGCGATTCACTTTTACATCGTACACATCAGGAAGACCATGTACCTGTGTCCATGGAAGAAAGTGGCTATACCACAGGTCTGACAAAACACACCGATACCTTTCGTAAACGTACCCATCATTTAAAAAGAGTCGACTTGGACGAGTACGATAGTTCAGATATTGACTTGTTTGACCACAAGTCGTCTAAATTCAGACAACGTAAAGACATTCTCAAACGAGCATCGCTTAAACGAGATGCCTATATTGTCTTGGCCATCACTCTGTGGGCTGCTTACATTCGTCTCTACAAGATTGCTCAACCTCCCTCTGTTGTCTTTGATGTAAACCTACTCTCTTATTTTTTTTTTCATATGTAAAAAGACTGTGTACTCATATCAACCCCCCCTTTTTTTTTTGTTGTTGTTGTAGGAAGTGCACTTTGGAGGTTTCGCTACAAAATATATAAAGACTCGTTTTTTTATGGACGTGCATCCACCCGTAAGTTGCAAACACTCACCCGATTATTTTAATTTGTTTGGATTTAACATTTTATACTCATATGCAAAAAATACGATAATTTCAGTTGGCGAAAATGTTAATTGCACTTGTAGGTAAATTGGCTGGTTTAGATGGATTTGATTTCAAGGATATTGGAAAGTAAGAGGAACCCTCCCCCCACGACACGATGTTTATATATATATATATAAAATGAGAAAGAGAGGCTCATAAAGAATGTTAGGGATTATCTTGAGGAAAATGTACCGTATGTGATTATGCGTGTATTTTGTGGTATAACTGGATTATTAGTGGTACCGATTGCATATCTGACAGTACGTGGTGCTGGTCATTCAATTGCTGCTGGTTTAGTAGCTGCTTTTATGGTTTGCTATGGTAACAATAACGAAAAAAAAAAAAATTAAAATGTGGATTTGCCCCCCCCCCTCTCATTCTTGTTATTTATTTGTGTACGTGTAGAAAACGGTTTAATTGCTAATAATCGATTGATCTTGTTGGATCCACCACTTTTGTTTTTTACCGCTGCCACTACGCTCATGTGGGTCAATTTCCACGGTCAAAAGCGCAAGTAAAGCATCACTCTTTCCATATATATATAACACATCAAGTATGTTAACCCCCTCTCTCTTTTTTGTCCATCCCCATAGACCGTTCACATTGTGGTGGTATGTATGGTTGGCCATGACAGGTCTTGGATTAGGTTTGACTGTCAGTTGTAAATGGGTGGGTTTATTCACAATTGCAACGATTGGCACGTCAACATTGAAGGGACTCTGGGAACTTTGGGGGAACACGCGTGTTTCCTCTTCGGTCTTTTTAAGACATTTTGGCGCCCGTGCCCTCTGCTTAATTGTTTTACCCGTGGCCGTGTACCTCCTCATGTTTAGGATTCATTTCCATATTTTACCTAACAGTGGCGAAGGAGATGGATTTATGTCACCCGAGTTTCAACAAACGTTGGATGGTCATACCAGTATCAATACGCCTGTTGGTAATAGCTTATTCTCCCCCCTGCATTGCCTTCTTTTTTTTTTTAATTCACTTCTTTTTTTTTTAAATCCTAGATATTGCGTTTGGTTCCAAAGTGTTTATTCGACATGTGGCAACGCGAGGTGGATACCTTCATTCTCATCCTCATAATTATCCCACTGGCAGTAAACGTAAGTTTTTTTTTATTATTATAAAAATAAAATAGAATGCCCAATCTTTTTTATCTGTAGAGCAACAGGTGACGTTGTATCCTCATCGTGATGATAATAACTGGTGGACAATTACTAAAGTCAAAGACGTGAATACAACGGATATCGAGTATATTAAAGACGGTGATATTATTACATTTAAACATGCCGATACGAACAAACGTTTACATTCACATGATATCCGTCCTCCTATGACAGACATTGAATATCACAATGAAGTGAGGTAGGTAGGGACCGTTACACACACATGGATGGGATTAGCTCATTCCTTTTTTTTTTTTTTAAAAAAAATCAGTACGTATGGTTTTGAGGATTTCTATGGTGACGAAAATGATCAATGGCGTGTAGAGATTATCAAGGGAGAAAAATCCGATCCTGAATCCACCAAACGATTGCGTACGATTCATACAAAGTTTCGCTTGATTCATGTCATGACACAATGTGCACTTTTCTCTCACTCTGTGAAATTACCCGAATGGGGTTTTGAGCAACAGGAGGTCACCTGCATTAATGGCGGTAAAATTGCTAAAACTGTGTGGTATATCGAATCCACCGAGAACAATCTCTGTAAGTCGTTCGTGTGTGTGAGTGAGTTAACTTAAGTTTTTTTTGCTAACGATTCACAAAGTATCGCCTGATGCGGAAAGAGTGACTTATAACAAATTGGGATTCATTAAGAAATTTCTTGAATTGAACAAGGTCATGTGGGATACCAACAGTGGATTAACCTCATCGCATCCATACGATTCAAGACCAGAGGTAAATAATAATTATAATTTTTTTTGTTGTAGGTCTCTAAAACTAAATTGTCAATTTAAAAGTCTTGGCCACTCTTGCGTCGGGGTATTAATTTTTGGTCCAAGGATAAGTTGCACCTTTATTTACTGGGAAATCCCTTGATTTATTGGGCTACTTTTACCTCCATCTTGGTCTGCATCATTCTTAAATCCGTCTTTATTATCTTGGACAAACGAGGCATTCAAAAGGACTTTGGAGGTAATAAAAAAAGTAAAAAAAAAAAGAAGAAAGAAAGAAAAAAAAAATGTCTTTATTGACACACACACTTTTTTTTTAGATCTAAGGAAGTTCTATGATGAATCAGCTGGTTTCTTCCTAGTTGGGTGGTTCCTTCATTATTTCCCATTCTTTTTAATGGGTAGACAATTATTCTTGCATCATTATATGCCAGCCTTATATTTCTCTATCCTCTTGTTCAGTGTTGGATTCGATCTCTTGACCATTCGTCTTGCTAATCGTAAACGATTGATGGCAGCTGCTATGCTGATCTTTTCTGTCATTTACGTCTATCGTACATTTATTCCCATCACCTATGGTGAACCCTGGACACAAAATCTTTGTGAAGAAGCCAAGTGGAGATCCACTTGGGATTTCGACTGCGCACAGTAAGTTCTTTTTTTGATCCTCCCCCAATCCGATGTGTGTACTAAAACCTTTTCCTTTTTCTGCGCCAAGGTATCACCATGATATTGAGAGTTACAAAGTAAAGAAACCCTTAGTCATTGAAGGATTTAGCAAGGTAAAAGATGCTGTGAGTTCATTTATGGGTAACCATGAACAACAGGCTGAAGTCATTGGTGGTGTAAATATTGTGTCGGATGCTGCAGATCTTCCACTTGTAGTGGAAGAAGCCATGCTAAATACTGAAGAAGAAGCCATGACTGGAACACAATAAACTTTTTTTTTTTTTTACTCTCTCTCTCGTACCACATGCAATAAAACATCGATCCCTTTTTTTTTTTATATTTTATTTCCATTGTGAGAAGAGCATATGTTTCCCTTTTCATATATTTCATTCCCCACACCTTTTTTTTTTCTTTTTTTCTTTTCATCTTTCTCTTTTCTCTCCCTCTCTTTTTTTTTTTTTTTTTTTTTTTTTTTTTTTATTGACTTTTTGATCTATTTACATATCAACATTTACACTCCTTATAAAGAAAAAGAAAAATCATAATAAACAACATGTTGATCCAAACATTGCTCACCTCTGCACTGTTCTTCTCTGTAACAGTTACAGCTCAAACAGGTAAAAAAAAAAAAAATTCAAAACAGAAACTTTCTTTGTTTGGGGTTACACCATCTTAATTTTCCCTTTCGTCGAAAAATAGTCAAAACGGGTGGCACTTGTAACTCATATTCTTCCAATGCAACGTGTTCAGTAAAGACTCTTTTTTTATTTAAAAAAGCAAACAAAACAAAAATCACTCACACTTTGTTTTTTTTTTTTCTTTCTGTATCAAAGAATTATGTGGATTATAGCGTGTTTTTACCAGACAAGGTAGATTTCGTCACTGTCGAAACCCAATTAAGTAATTTACCCCAATTACAAGCTTTGGTGGGCAAAGTCAGTCCCGATTGTTACGATGCCTATGCTCGTTATTCATGTTCTTTAGCCTATCCTAAATGTGTCACTGGCACTAACAACAGTATGTTTCTTCTTAATAACCTCCAAAAAAAGCAACTTTTTATTTTTTCTATTCGCTGACTTTCTTCTTTTTACAATGATCAATTAAGCGATCAGCGTGATGCCAGCTTGTACTTCCTCTTGTGAGACAGTGCATCAGTATTGTTCTTCCATCTTTGCTATGGCAGGACAATCACAGTTTTTACCAGATTGTTCCTCAAATACTATCACCAGTACAGGAGACACCCTTCAACCTGACGCTACCTGTAACAATATCCCCACCAAATGTAAGCCATGAGCTTTTATTGCACACACACACACACACACACACAAAGATAACTCATACATATATATTGATCTAGTGACACCAGAAGAAATAGACGCGGGACGACTTGTTCTTGCAGGCATTCCAGAAGGGTTTGTGATGCAAGAGTGTCCTTCACCTTTTTTAAAGGATCCTCTTGCTAAGCAAGGATCCAATGATACGTTAGATCCTCATTATTGTCAGTTTGGATGTTGTATTCCCTGTCCTGCGCAAAACCTTGTAAGTTTGTTTCTTGTTTACTTTCAAAAAAAGATTTAGCATACACATACACAAGGGACTCATTTTATATATGTAAAAAAGTTTTATAAAGAGAACTGGGCAACGCGAGGATTCTTAGCAACGGATATACTTCGATTTATATCTGCTATACTTTCATTTGTCCTTGTGATCAGTTATTTGATTTTACCCGATAAAAGAAGACACCCTTCACTCTTGATTTTGAACCTCTCGATTGCTATTTTTCTGTTTAGCATGGGAGTGTTTTTCTCGGTGGGTAATCCTAAACGATTGCAATGCGCTGCGAATGGTATATCCACGGGTGAAATGGGTAATAATACATTGTGTGCAGCTCAAGGCGCTATTTTAATCTTTGGCTCCTTCGCCACTGTACTTTGGTGCTCAGCCTTAATTCTCAACCTGCATGTTCATACGGTTTGGAACTCGAATTTCTTTACGAATCGTTACGTGTTACTCAATATCATTTGTTGGGGTATTCCCACCACCATCATGTCAATCGCTTTGGGACTCCATGCTATCAAGTTTGAATTTGCTAATCTTTGTTTGGTCTCGATGAAGTATATTTTTCCCATGTTTTTTTACCCTTTAGCCGCTGTTGTCTGTCCTAGCTTTATCATTCATATCGGTACCTTTTTCTATATTGCTAAAATTGCTGTACGTGAAGGCTTGGAGTCTGATATGACCCAATCATTATCGACAGGCACGATCACAGATCGACCACCTGGTGTGAGTCGTAAACATGTTATTGTGGCTGTTAAAATTCAATGGCGTGCTTTATTATTAGCCATCATTGCCATTGTCACCGTCCTGTTCTACTGGGTAATTTTTTTTTTTTTTAATTATTATTTATTGGGTTGTTGATGCTAAACTATCTCTTTTTTTTTTTTTTTTTTTTAGTTGTTCTACATGACACAAATGAGCCGTATGACGGATTTACAAAATAATCCTCGTGTGACTTTGGATTGGATCCAATGCATGCTAACACCGGGAAAGACACAAAACATGTGCGCGGCCGTCATCAGTCCTCATTTACCGCCATTTTCTTTAATCATTGTAGCTGAGGTGTTGGTGAGTACAATTGGTATTTGGCTCTTCATCATGTTTGGTAAACGATCCTTGTGGCGTGAATGGAATGATTTAATTTATGATTTGCGTATTAAAATGGGTGGTCGTGGTGGTGCTGAAAAGCACGGTGAGCAATTCTTTGCGCTCTAAAGTTTTTTTATTCCTATTTTTTTTTTTTTAATTATAATAATAATCTATATATTTCCTTTTTACAACTCATGCAAAAAGCTAATTTTTAAGGTTTTTTTTTTTTCGCATTATTTCGTCTCTTGAGAGTTGTAACACGAATCACTCTTCATAGTTAAATGCAACGTTTTTATTTATTAAGATGATTAAGGTTAATACTACGATCACACAAAGTGAGTTTGGGGGAGACGCGATTTTTCATGCATATCCTTTTTTTTTTTTTTTAAAAAAAAAAAAAACGACATTTCTCTTCCTAATTGCAAAAACGAAAAACACCATGACTTTAACAGATTCAACTGAAAAACATCCTGAGGAGTCATATTTAACTTTTGAAATCAAACTTTAGATGGGGTCTTTAGTTACTGATTTCATACGTATGGATTAAGTCAAAGTGAAATTTCAAGGACCGTAGCGCTATTCACGTCTACTGTTCACAATATTGTGAAAAGAGTTAGGGCAACCCGCAGTCCTCTACCCAAAAAGACTCCTGGAGCACTTTAAAAAAAAATAAACGAGAGAGATCCCAAAGAGCTTTGGAACGTGTTATAAGAAGCAAGCCAATAACTAGTAATGTATTAATGATCTATAACTAGAGTTTGAGTAGAGCTACGTTAATATGGGTTTTGGATCTTATTTTGCTGCCTATAATCCATGTTTTGACACAAAAACACAAAGAACAGAAGACTTCGTTGGGGCTGTAGTTATTTCAATTGGACAAAGTAGGTTATGTAATGAATTGGGGGGGGGATCCGGCCCTTTAACCGTAATTGATGGGACGGTAAATCAAGAGGAATATATAAATATTTTGGCTGGTAAGTTTCATGGCTGGTTTAAGTGATTGCCCAGAAAAGGAGGATATAGACTTTATTCTGCAAGAAGACGAGGCTTCATGCCATACTGGGGCCTACACACGGTGGTGAAAACAGACCCATCAGATTGCTAGGTTTGAATACTGGTCCGCCCAAAGCCCAGACTTAAACCCAATTAAACATCTCTGGTGGGCCTTAGGAACGTCGAATGGCTGAAAGAAGAGCCAAGGTAAATAACGTAAAAGATTTGAGGGCTGTGATAAAAGGAAAAGAATGGGAGCAAATGGACATTTCGCTTGCCCACCGTTTAATGGAAAGTATGACGAGTCTATGTCAGGCCGTGATTGATGGTCTAGGAGACCCCACTAAATATTTTTTTATTTTATTTTCGTATGCCTCTTATGTTTATCAATTACTATTTAAATTTTGACATTGATTCCTTTAGAATTCTAGCATTCCTAAACTCACTTGTGTGTGACTTTACAACCAAATTTGCTTGCATGGCTAGTGTTGAACAATGTTGTAAGAGGTAGCGGATCAAGATAGGTTGTAAAACTGAGTTTTATTAATATAAGATTGGTATAGGTATTAATACTTAATACCGAGTTACACAACTCTTACAAATGTATCCGCCATGGCAGGAATATCCCCGAGAAACAGACAAGTATACACCTTGATATGATGTTTTTGGCTGCCGTGAGCCTTGACAATCACACCAGCAGACTCCATTTTAATTAACTTCATTAATAAAAGATATAAGAAGCTATATATGTCTTTTGGTTTTTTGGGTCCTTTGATGATGCAGACAACAAATTGGTTTTCTTTTTTTTTTTTTTTTGCTCTGTAACAGACAATGACAATTAGTATTTTTGATGGAATTATTTTAATCTTTAAACTACCTTTCATCGAGACTTAAGTTCATATTCACAGCTTTGACAATGGTGAGACTCTGTTTTCCTCTTTGGCCACGAACAAATCCATCAATATACAACGCCAGGGCGATGTCATACTTGTTTTAAAAGCAATTTTTTTCGTAAAAAGCTCTTGGTACTTTTTGCCGTCAAAAAAGTCTTCCATTACAAAATCGTCGCTTGTTTGGACCTTCTCTGATCTGTGCAACAATGATCTCATGCTTTTATCAGAGACAAAGTATGAAGCAATGAAATCGTAAAATGTCCAGAAGCTTTTGTTTTTGACGAACTTCCAATACGCCCGTTGTCGTTCAGTTGAAACCTGGGGTTCCTCACAGTAAGAACACGTTTCTTGATCCTCGGTGATAAACATTTGGCTCCCATTCACACACATATCGTGGGACTTCTTCTTTCAGCTGTACCGTTTCCACTCATTTGTTTTTTTTATATTTAAATAAGTGGACTTTAATTTTTCTGCCCACGTCTAATTTACAGAAGAATTAGTTACCATGTCATGATGTAGTGAATACGCATAAAAAGGCTTACTATGGCTATGATGAGTATTATGGTAGTTGTCATTGATCCATTTGATGATCTCTTCTTTCTGAAACCTTTTCAAATTCAACTTTTCCATCCATCAACACTTTGTTTTGTCGAGATGGATATCGGAGTCACTTCCACTATTACTTTTATATTGATCTTGTAATTCAGTTACATCGTTAATATCCATATAAGCAATACCAGAGGCGGGAATGGGAACAAAATTGTCATTGTAAGTCATACCATATTCGAAATCAGGAATATTGGCAGGTGCTTCTACGGGCAAACGAATGGATACATGAATCAAAAGTGCTGTCATAGGTTCTATTCAGTCATCGCCTAATAATATTTATCTTCATTTTTCAAATTTCCAAATCCTATGCTTTAAGAGATTCTGAATTGCGAGTACGAAGGTACTGTCTGTTTTGGGCAAGTATCGCAATGCGCAGCAAAATCTGGAGTTAGATTTTAAAGACCGGATAATATTGTCCAATCACACTTCTATTTAACACCGGAGTTTTCCCCCCAGGCTTGTGAATAGTTGGCGTCAAAAAAGTTATTTTTTGTTTCTTTTTCTTCTTCTTCTTCTTCATAGCCCACTCGTAAAAAAGGTGGTGAGGTCTACTTAAAATCCATGGTAGTTCCGACGATCGTGGTAGTGTCAGAGATTTCGCTTCAACAACTGAGCTGGCAATATTGGTGGGAATACCAGAGGAGTGCTATCTTTCCGAGGGGGTAGTTACTGCTTTGGACGTGATGGTCGTCCTTTAACTGGATAACAATCCTTGAGCTGGCAGTGACGGAGAGGTAGATACTGACGTTATCGGCTAGGTCTGTTTTTCTTTTCGGTCTAGATAGTTTTACTCTTGCAGGGAGGGTAACAGGGGCGCGTTGTAGAGGGTGGAAAAGTGTACCTTGCATTCTTACTTGACTACAACTCACATATTAATTTATCAGACTACGGTCCAGTTTGATCAAGTTAGTCCTTTTCCATCGAGTCTCACCCCCACAGCTTCTATTAACCTTTTCGATTTTCTCCCCATTCTAGACAAAACCGAAAATGCGGGATGTATGGATACAAGCCTCCTCGTGGCCATCCTGGAAACACTCGCTTCTTTATGTGAGTGGCAAATGTGTATCTACTACTGTTATTTGTGTGGTGTGTTCATGATATCAAGTAAGTAAAATAGCAGATCATGAGAATTTTTGTGCTTTAACTAACTTATAATAATAACGATGTCTTGATTTGTATAAGCTATCTTTTCTTGATTAATAAAAACTCTCAATAAAACTCTTTTTTCTTTTTCAATGGTTGTTAACCATAACGTTTTTCTTTTTTAATGTGAAGTTAAGTAACGTAAATAAGTAAATCTAAAGTAGACTGCGCGCAGCAAGATCTAAGACCTCAAATAGTTTCTTCAATGTCAAGGATCTTGATGTAAAATGAAAATAATATAGTAATCATTAATAGATCACTTGATTATATTTCACAAAAAGGAACTGAAGCATGCACTGATCTTGTTAAAGACAGATGGAGCACGCATGTATAATTAAGATTAAATCAAACAAAACGGCAAGCCATACCGGCTAATTCTTTTAAAAATGGAACAAGCAAATGTCCTGGACAGTAACACATTGCATGTATCTTCTCCAAAGGCCGAGCGGATCTTATATCAGCCTAATGTACTAAATATGTACAACCAACGCGTAATAACCAACGAGCCTATTTGAAAGACCCAGGCAATATGGGGCTGTCCTGCTTGTCCCAGTGTATGTTTTACATAATACATATTAAAAATAAAAATGAGATCATAATCTCTTTATGTTTTTTTATAGAGGGACTCCAATCATCCTAAGGATCGCCATTTTCATCAAGGTGGATGGGATGTTTTAGTTATGAAATGTAAGTCGGGAAGCCAAGTCTTCTTGATAAAATCTTAAATGATTGATACCGTCTGGAGAACGCAATGGATGAAGCCTGAATCTGTTGAGCTTTTACAAAAAAAAAAGGGTTAGAAAACAGTTTGGCTTGCTGATAAGACAATACTATCATTAGGCTCTTTTTAAAACGAAAAACTCATTTAGAGTCTGCAGGTAATGGCGCTTCATATATAAGTCTAAATTGTATCCCGTGAAAGGACTTTTTTTTTTGCTGCTTCGTGTGTGCGCGCCATGACCTCTCACCCTAAAGATGGTGGATTTATGGATAAGTGGTGAAGGGTATATCGTATACATTTGAAGTTATTTTATACGAATTACAATTTCTATTTGAAGATCTAAATATCCACTATATCTGTTCTCTACGACCTGTTTCAAGGAGACAAGGACAGCACTCGTACGCCTGTCAATTTGATGTACGACATCAAATTGTGTCTTGGAGAAAGTCAATGACGGTAATAAATAATGGCGCATATTACTAACGACGTTATTTTGGGTTTATACTATTAAAAAAAAAAAAGTAGTTTACCCCCATACTTTTCAACATAGGTAGACCCAAGATTTGTCTGGGGAGGGGGGAAGCTAATAGGGATATACAATTCATTTGAGACCTGTACGTCTGCTATATGTATACATTGTAGATCATATTAACAAATTTTTTTTTTAAGACCGTGTTATCAGAAGGTGTCAACAGACCTGGGTCCCTTTAAAAGATGTTTATAATGTCTTTCACTTTAAAATACTACAATCTGCGTGAGGTTCTCTCATCTCAGGAAGCGTTTTATAATTTTACTGCCGTCGCTCTCTACAATGTTTTATTCCAACAATAGGAAAAAGAAGACAAGATAAACCCAAAATTCATAAGACATATACATGGGATGGGATTGCTTTTTTGAGCATTGCCCGACGATATCGCCGAATGTAATTTGGACTCATTTACTGGCAAAAAATCTGCCTTCAACATTTTTTATTTTATTTTTTTTTAGAACTTTGTGTTCAATAATTCTGACATGGTGGGTCGTAATTTGGGGTTACGATGAAGACACATCTTGAGGACAGCACTCAACTCCTCAGGAATGTCAATGGTTTCACCTGCATACTTGGCGTGTTTAGGAAAGGCAATGTCATGGTTTGGATTGGTAATGGTTTTAGCCAACATGTGTTTGGGTACACTGTAAAAGGGAGGCAGACCAAAGATCATTTGGTAGAGAATACATCCCAAAGACCAAATATCACTGGGTCGACCTTGTTTGAAGACGGTATCTGATGCACTATTGCTCCCTTCTGTAAAGGTCTCGGGTGCCATAAAGTTACGCGTGCCCACTTGATAATCGCGTGCAATATGCGTAGTATAATCGGGCACTACTGCAGCAATGCCGAAATCAATTAATTTCAGAGAGCCTCGAATCACAATGAAATTAGCGGGTTTTAGGTCTGAATGAATAATGTCTTTTCCATGGGTTGCACACACGGCCTGTAACATCTAAAAAAAAAAGGTATATCAGCTTACTTGGAGAAGTGGGAGATAAATTTGCTTTTGTTTATGACTTACTTGCTTCCAATAGTAACGAATAAAGTCAATATCCCATGGACTCAATGATTTGATTTTAATCAAGGTAGCGAAATCCATCTCACCATATTCCATAATCATAAGAACGACCTGAGGGGTGAATTCAGAGTCAAACAAGGTGATGGTATGTACACTGTCCTCTAAAAGGCGCATAAGTTCGATCTCATTCTTGACGTTCTCCATTTCTTCCTTGTTGCGTACTTTGACCCATTTAAGAGCAAAATTTTCGGTATGTTCGTAAGAAAATACCTGAAAGACTTTACCAGATCCTCCTTCCCCTAAAGGTTTCAATACCAAATATTTCTTTCCATTGACCTTTTTTTTTTATATTTGCGTTAGCTCATTTACACACACACACACACACACACACACAAAGATAACTCATATATATATCTATTGATCTAGTGACGCCAGAAGAAATAGACGCGGGACGACTTGTTCTTGCAGGCATTCCAGAAGGGTTTGTGATGCAAGAGTGTCCTTCACCTTTTTTAAAGGATCCTCTTGCTAAGCAAGGATCCAATGATACGTTAGATCCTCATTATTGTCAGTTTGGATGTTGTATTCCCTGTCCTGCGCAAAACCTTGTAAGTTTGTTTCTTGTTTACTTTCAAAAAAAGATTTAGCACATCACATACACGAGGGACTCATTTTATATATGTAAAAAAGTTTTATAAAGAGAACTGGGCAACGCGAGGATTCTTAGCAACGGATATACTTCGATTTATTTCTGCTATACTTTCATTTGTCCTTGTGATCAGTTATTTGATTTTACCCGATAAAAGAAGACACCCTTCACTCTTGATTTTGAACCTCTCGATTGCTATTTTTCTGTTTAGCATGGGAGTGTTTTTCTCGGTGGGTAATCCTAAACGATTGCAATGCGCTGCGAATGGTATATCCACGGGTGAAATGGGTAATAATACATTGTGTGCAGCCCAAGGCGCTATTTTAATCTTTGGCTCCTTCGCCACTGTACTTTGGTGCTCAGCCTTAATTCTCAACCTGCATGTTCATACGGTTTGGAACTCGAATTTCTTTACGAATCGTTACGTGTTACTCAATATCATTTGTTGGGGTATTCCCACCACCATCATGTCAATTGCTTTGGGACTCCATGCTATCAAGTTTGAATTTGCTAATCTTTGTTTGGTCTCGATGAAGTATATTTTTCCCATGTTTTTTTACCCTTTAGCCGCTGTTGTCTGTCCTAGCTTTATCATTCATATCGGTACCTTTTTCTATATTGCTAAAATTGCTGTACGTGAAGGCTTGGAGTCTGATATGACCCAATCGTTATCGACAGGCACGATCACAGATCGACCACCTGGTGTGAGTCGTAAACATGTTATTGTGGCTGTTAAAATTCAATGGCGTGCTTTATTATTAGCCATCATTGCCATTGTCACCGTCCTGTTCTACTGGGTAAATTTTTTTTTTTTTTTAAATTATTATTTATTGGGTTGTTGATGCTAAACTATCTCTCTTTTTTTTTAGTTGTTCTACATGACACAAATGAGCCGTATGACGGATTTACAAAATAATCCTCGTGTGACTTTGGATTGGATCCAATGCATGCTAACACCGGGAAAGACACAAAACATGTGCGCGGCCGTCATCAGTCCTCATTTACCGCCATTTTCTTTAATCATTGTAGCTGAGGTGTTGGTGAGTACGATTGGTATTTGGCTCTTCATTATGTTTGGTAAACGATCCTTGTGGCGTGAATGGAATGATTTAATTTATGATTTGCGTATTAAAATGGGTGGTCGTGGTGGTGCTGAAAAGCACGGTGAGCAATTCTTTGCGCTTTAAAGCTTTTTTTATTCCTATTTTTTTTTTTAATTATAATAATAATCTATATATTTCCTTTTTACAACTCATGCAAAAAGCTAATTTTTAAGGTTTTTTTTTTTTTTTTTTCGCATTATTTCGTCTCTTGAGAGTTGTAACACGAATCACTCTTCATAGTTAAATGCAACGTTTTTATTTATTAAGATGATTAAGGTTAATACTACGATCACACAAAGTGAGTTTGGGGGAGACGCGATTTTTCATGCATATCCTTTTTTTTTTTTTTTAAAAAAAAAAAAAAACGACATTTCTCTTCCTAATTGCAAAAACGAAAAACACCATGACTTTAACAGATTCAACTGAAAAACATCCTGAGGAGTCATATTTAACTTTTGAAATTAAACTTTAGATGGGGTCTTTACTGATTTCATACGTATGGATTAAGTCAAAGTGAAATTTCAAGGACCGTAGCGCTATTCACGTCTACTGTTCACAATATTGTGAAAAGAGTTAGGGCAACCCGCAGTCCTCTACCCAAAAAGACTCCTGGAGCACTTTAAAAAAAAATAAACGAGAGAGATCCCAAAGAGCTTTGGAACGTGTTATAAGAAGCAAGCCAATAACTAGTAATGTATTAATGATCTATAACTAGAGTTTGAGTAGAGCTACGTTAATATGGGTTTTGGATCTTATTTTGCTGCCTATAATCCATGTTTTGACACAAAAACACAAAGAACAGAAGACTTCGTTGGGGCTGTAGTTATTCCAATTGGACAAAGGGGGAGTGGGAAAGCGTGGTTTGGTCTGATGAGTATTTTTTTTCTCCGTAACAGGATCCGATAGAGGAGCCAGAGTAATTAGAAAAGTTGGGAAAAAGGTATCAGGAAATAAATGTTATTCCAACAACAAAGTAGGTTATGTAATGAATTGGGGGGGGGGATCCGGCCCTTTAACCGTAATTGATGGGACGGTAAATCAAGAGGAATATATAAATATTTTGGCTGGTAAGTTTCATGGCTGGTTTAAGTGATTGCCCAGAAAAGGAGGATATAGACTTTATTCTGCAAGAAGACGAGGCTTCATGCCATACTGGGGCCTACACACGGTGGTGGAAACAGACCCATCAGATTGCTAGGTTTGAATACTGGTCCGCCCAAAGCCCAGACTTAAACCCAATTAAACATCTCTGGTGGGCCTTAGGAACGTCGAATGGCTGAAAGAAGAGCCAAGGTAAATAACGTAAAAGATTTGAGGGCTGTGATAAAAGGAAAAGAATGGGAGCAAATGGACATTTCGCTTGCCCACCGTTTAATGGAAAGTATGACGAGTCTATGTCAGGCCGTGATTGATGGTCTAGGAGGCCCCACTAAATATTATTTTTTTTATTTTCGTATGCCTCTTATGTTTATCAATTACTATTTAAATTTTGACATTGATTCCTTTAGAATTCTAGCATTCCCAAACTCACTTGTGTGTGACTTTACAACCAAATTTGCTTGCATGGCTAGTGTGGAACAATGTTGTAAGAGGTAGCGGATCAGGATAGGTTGTAAAACTGAGTTTTATTAATATAAGATTGGTATAGGTATAAATACTTAATACCGAGTTACACAACTCTTACAAATGTATCCGCCATGGCAGGAATATCACCGAGAAATAGACAGGTATACACCTTGATATGATGTTTTTGGCTGCCGTGAGCCTTGACAATCACACCAGCAGACTCCATTTTAATTAACTTCATTAATAAAGGATATAAGAAGCTATATATGTCTTTTGGTTTTTTGGGTCCTTTGATGATGCAGACAACAATTTGGTTTTCTTTTTTTTTTTTTTGCTCTGTAACAGACAATGGCAATTAGTATTTTTGATGGAATTATTTTAATCTTTAAACTACCTTTCATCGAGACTTAAGTTCATATTCACAGCTTTGACAATGGTGAGACTCTGTTTTCCTCTTTAAACCACGAACAAATCCATCAATATACAATGCCATGGCGATGTCATACTTGTTTTGAAAGCAATTTTTTCTTAAAAGCTCTTGGTACTTTTTGCCGTCAAAAAAGTCTTCCATTACAAAATCGTCGCTTGTTTGGACCTTCTCTGATCTGTGCAACAATGATCTCATGCTTTTATCAGAGACAAAGTATGAAGCAATGAAATCGTAAAATGTCCAGAAGCTTTTGTTTTTGACGAACTTCCAATACGCCCGTTGTCGTTCAGTTGAAACCTGGGGTTCCTCACAGTAAGAAACACGTTTCTTGATCCTCGGTGATAAACATTTGGCTCCCATTCACACACATATCGTGGGACTTCTTCTTTCAGCTGTACCGTTTCCACTCATTTGTTTTTTTTATATTTAAATAAGTGGACTTTAATTTTTCTGCCCACGTCTAATTTACAGAAGAATTAGTTACCATGTCATGATGTAGTGAATACGCATAAAAAGGCTTACTATGGTTATGATGAGTATCATGGTAGTTGTCATTGATCCATTTGATGATCTCTTCTTTCCGAAATCTTTTCAAATTCAACTTTTCCATCCATCAACACTTTGTTTTGTCGAGATGGATGTCGGAGTCACTTCCACTATTACTTTTATATTGATCTTGTAATTCAGTTACATCGTTAATATCCATATAAGCAATACCAGAGGCGGGAATGGGAACAAAATTGTCATTGTAAGTCATACCATATTCGAAATCAGGAATATTGGCAGGTGCTTCTACGGGCAAACGAATGGATACATGAATCAAAAGTGCTGTGATAGGTTCTATTCAGTCATCGCCTAATAATATTTATCTTCATTTTTCAAATTTCCAAATCCTATGCTTTAAGAGATTCTGAATTGCGAGTACGAAGGTACTGTCTGTTTTGGGCAAGTATCGCAATGCGCAGCAAAATCTGGAGTTAGATTTTAAAGACCGGATAATATTGTCCAATCACACTTCTATTTAACACCGGAGTTTTCCCCCCAGGCTTGTGAATAGTTGGCGTCAAAAAAGTTATTTTTTGTTTCTTTTTCTTCTTCTTCTTCTTCATAGCCCACTCGTAAAAAAGGTGGTGAGGTCTACTTAAAATCCATGGTAGTTCCGACGATCGTGGTAGTGTCAGAGATTTCGCTTCAACAACTGAGCTGGCAATATTGGTGGGAATACCAGAGGAGTGCTATCTTTCCGAGGGGGTAGTTACTGCTTTGGACGTGATGGTCGTCCTTTAACTGGATAACAATCCTTGAGCTGGCAGTGACGGAGAGGTAGATACTGACGTTATCGGCTAGGTCTGTTTTTCTTTTCGGTCTAGATAGTTTTACTCTTGCAGGGAGGGTAACAGGGGCGCGTTGTAGAGGGTGGAAAAGTGTACCTTGCATTCTTACTTGACTACAACTCACATATTAATTTATCAGACTACGGTCCAGTTTGATCAAGTTAGTCCTTTTCCATCGAGTCTCACCCCCACAGCTTCTATTAACCTTTTCGATTTTCTCCCCATTCTAGACAAAACCGAAAATGCGGGATGTATGGATACAAGCCTCCTCGTGGCCATCCTGGAAACACTCGCTTCTTTATGTGAGTGGCAAATGTGTATCTACTACTGTTATTTGTGTGGTGTGTTCATGATATCAAGTAAGTAAAATAGCAGATCATGAGAATTTTTGTGCTTTAACTAACTTATAATAATAACGATGTCTTGATTTGTATAAGCTATCTTTTCTTGATTAATAAAAACTCTCAATAAAACTCTTTTTTCTTTTTCAATGGTTGTTAACCATAACGTTTTTCTTTTTTAATGTGAAGTTAAGTAACGTAAATAAGTAAATCTAAAGTAGACTGCGCGCAGCAAGATCTAAGACCTCAAATAGTTTCTTCAATGTCAAGGATCTTGATGTAAAATGAAAATAATATAATAATCAGTAATAGATCACTTGATTACATTTCACAAAAAGGAACTGAAGCATGCACTGATCTTGTTAAAGACAGATCGAGCACGCATGTATAATTAAGATTAAATCAAACAAAACGGCAAGCCATACCGGCTAATTCTTTTAAAAATGGAACAAGCAAATGTCCTGGACAGTAACACATTGCATGTATCTTCTCCAAAGGCCGAGCGGATCTTATATCAGCCTAATGTACTAAATATGTACAACCAACGCGTAATAACCAACGAGCCTATTTGAAAGACCCAGGCAATATGGGGCTGTCCTGCTTGTCCCAGTGTATGTTTTACATAATACATATTAAAAAATAAAAATGAGATCATAATCTCTTTATGTTTTTTTATAGAGGGACTCCAATCATCCTAAATGAATCGCCATTTTCATCAAGGTGGATGGGATGTTTTAGTTTGAAATGTAAGTCGGGGAAGCCAAGTCTTCTTGATAAAATCTTTAAATGATTGATACCGTCTGGAGAACGCAATGGATGAAGCCTGAATCTGTTGAGCTTTTACAAAAAAAAAAAAAGGGTTAGAAACAGTTTGGCTTGCTGATAAGACAATATTATCATTAGGCTCTTTTTAAAACGAAAAACTCATTTAGAGTCTGCAGGTAATGGCGCTTCATATATAAGTCTAAATTGTATCCCGTGAAAGGACTTTTTTTTTGCTGCTTCGTGTGTGCGCGCCATGACCTCTCACCCTAAAGATGGTGGATTTATGGATAAGTGGTGAAGGGTATATCGTATACATTTGAAGTTATTTTATACGAATTACAATTTCTATTTGAAGATCTAAATATCCACTATATCTGTTCTCTACGACCTGTTTCAAGGAGACAAGGACAGCACTCGTACGCCTGTCAATTTGATGTACGATATCAATTTGTGTCTTGGAGAAAGTCAATGACGGTAATAAAGAAATGGCGCATATCACTAACGACGTTATTTTGGGTTTATACTATTAAAAAAAAAAGTAGTTTACCCCCATACTTTTCAACATAGGTAGACCCAAGATTTGTCTGGGGGGGGGGGGGCTAATAGGGATATACAATTCATTTGAGACCTGTACGTCTGCTATATGTATACATTGTAGATCATATTAACAAATTTTTTTTTAAGACCGTGTTATCAGAAGGTGTCAACAGACCTGGGTCCCTTT